ACCGGAGGACGAGTCTAAGTCAGCTCGGACCTCGGAGCTCGCGCGATCAACTGGAGGCGTGGCTCAGTTGTCAGTCATCACCGACGCCCACCCGGCCTTCGTAATCGCAGCAGCTCGAGCGGCCCTGGACTTATTGCAGTACTTGCCGGAAGAAGAACCAGGACCAGAGGACCGAAACGCAACTATTTTGGCTCACCTATGCGAAGCATCATCTTGGCAGTTTGGTTACGCGACCTCCTTTACATACAGGAACGGCACGCGGCCAGATACGCCTTCCGCAAGGACTTCAAAGATCCAGACGACGACGCGGCCGAATTCGTGAAGTGGTACCGCGAAGAAAAAGCGTTACCTAGCGGATTCACTTCTAGACCATACGGAGAAGGGATGTCGGACGACTTGGCACCCGGCGCAGTACCTAACGCGCATAAACTCCGTAGGAAGGTCCAGAAAGCTAAGAAGGCGCGGGCGGAACAACCTGGCCAGGAAGGCACCCCACAACCAGATGGGCAACCACCAGCAACATGTAAGCCTGACGTCTTCCGGCGCCTTGGTCGACCACCACCTAAATCTGACGATGACGACGAAGATTACTTCGGCGGAGACCCGCCGATCTCAGTCCCCCTGGGATAACAGGTTCCCACATAAGGAACCTGTGGTCCCACTTCAACAGTAAGGAAGGGACATCGAGCTGAGAAACAGCAAAGTCGAGAACCGACCTAGCGGAGAACCTGCCCGGCTGAGAAACAGCCACGTCGAGAAACGACATGGAAAACATGGAACGGATACTTTTCTTTATGGACCCTAAAGCAGACGTGAACCACGAATACGCCAGAAGCGCCAACCACATAAGTTGGCCGGATTCTTTGGTCGGACCCGGAAACGTGTGGTCAGACCTGGGTATTTCGGTTCTTTCACCGTACCGTTACGTCCTCCAAGGAATCCCCTGGAAAGAACTGGGCAACCGACCTCAGTTCCCCAGCATGGCATTAGCAGATCGCGAACGAGATCAGAACCACATCTGCTACACCGGAGCCAACAGACGCCCCGGCTTGCTAACATAGCATATCGTGAACCACGTTCTGCTACCGAAGGAGATTACTCCGGCTAACCGACTCCGGAGAACAGACCGAGAGGATTACGCTAACATGGTGTCGAAAACGTTGTCACGTTCTCGACACCATGTTCGCCTGGCACCCGTGGCCGACTTTGGGACCGGGTAACCGCCCAGTAACTTTCATCACCGCAGACAGTGGTATCCTCATCGGCCCGCAATGTCACATGGTTCGGAATTGACCACAGAAGTTAAAACCGACCTGTTACGACATGACGCACTGAATTAACCGAAGGCAGGAACGAAGAACCGGACTCCCGCCCAGAGACTTAACTTCGCAGACCGCGACTTCAACCGTGCCCCGTTACCTCAGTCAACCACAGAAGTTGACCATTTCCGAGGTAGCTAAAGGAAGTCACGCAGACCGTGTCACAGAACCACGATCCACTACCTTTGTTGACCACGGAAGTCAGCCAATTTTAAGGTAGAACTTGGACCTTCTCTAATCACGACTCGGATAACTTAGCCGACCACAGAAGTCGGTGAAGTTTCAACCTTACATCCGAAGAATACCTGGTATAAAAGGGCACCCAACACAGACCGTGTTGGTTAATTACGATCTACGACATCAACACTCCGGCAACCGGACTCCGGAGTACGAACCAGCGAGGATTCCGCTAGCATGGCCCGGAACACAGCACTGCGGTGTGTTCAGGACCATGCTTGCCAAGGCACCCACGGTTAACTCCGAGAAACGGACGGCCGATAGGATAACAAGTCCCTAAACAACATGGAATCAATTGGACCGCAACGGAACGGATAGTGTCAACTATGACCCGCTACCTAGAATCGACCACAGAAGTCGATCTGCCAACGGTAGCCGACCTTCTAAACATTGACCAACCGACGTCGACCTGACGGAAGCATATGGAAATTACAAACGGGATGGCTTTATCGCAGTCTTCACTGACCACAGAAGTCGGTAAAGGTGACCGCAAACCGCGACACCTGACTACGATTTTAGTCTGGACGGATTCTCCGTTTGAACCCGGACCTACAGGCTCTCAACCAGGAACCTGTACCTGGAGTCCAACCGCAGTCTCCCCGGAGGATATCGGATAAACCAACCGATTCACCGGTGACCACGACTACGCGCGGCTTGACCGTGCTGCCATTACCTGAAGAGGAACAGCGACGGTGATTTGGCCACCATACCAACGACTCCGCCGCGACCTGCTTCCCCATGTCTCAAATGGAACACCCTAGGCAGACCGAGTTAGAATACTCGACCTGCACCCTCTTAACCCCGATGGCGATGACCACCTGCCCGCAACAGTAACGGCCAGTTGGCCAGCGTCACCGGCAAAGCAAAATTCCCCGCGGACGTGCGATGTCTTCCCCCAACAGAAGAGGCAAGGCGTCGCAGGTTCGCGGAACCGAACAAAGAAACTCCAACCAGGGAGGCGAAGTGATCTGATCCTACCCCAGGTTGCATGCTGCATGGGGATGGGAACGGGCAGTCTGGCATAAGTCGGGGCCCGACGCACAAAACGAACCAAAGAGATTACCTGGTTAAAAGGGACCACAGAAGTCCTTCGACGCCATAAGTAATCAGGAATGCATGCTGAATGGCCAACAGACGCCATAGAAACGCCGAACTTGACGGAACTCGGACCCGTCCAGAGGCAAAAACGCGAGCCCGAACCGGGGCATGTTAGAGGCACCAACCGGAATTTACTCCGAAAACGACTTCGAGGAGCTCGGATGAGTGCCCAGAGGCTTGAAACCGACCTCTTGACGGACGGAACCGACCTGGATGAGGAATCACCGACCTCAAGTTGGATAACATTATGTCCAACCTCAGGTCGGATAGTGGAATAACCGACAACAGGTCGGTTATAAGGACGATTCCACCGAAACGGACTTGTATGGCTCCACTTTGAGCCTGCATACCGTAACTCACTTCGGTTGAACACGGAATCATGGAATCACCGACCTCGGGTCGGATAACGTTGTAACCGACCTCGGGTCGGACATGTGAAGTAACCGACAACAGGTCGGTGGATGGAGACGCCATCCAAGATGTTTACGGAAAACGACTTCCGGACGGATGAAATCGACCTCAGTCGACCTGCGAACGGGATAACCGACCTCGGGTCGTACAACATCATCACCGACCTTGGGTGATATAACATTGCACCCGACCTCGAGTCGGATATGTTAAGCGACCGACAACAGGTCGGTAGTTGAACATCTCTTGGAAGATCTTCACGGAAAACGACTTCCGGACGGAAGGAATCGACCTCAATTGACCTGGGATTTGGAGTAACCGACCTCCAGTCGGATAACATTGCCACCGACCTCAGGTCGGATAAACCGGTCCAATCGACCACAGAAGTCGGTTAGGAACGCCGGATTGTTCGGATTCGCCTAGAACATCAGCGGATTAGCCGAAATACGACCTTTGCACGGACCAGTCACGTGGTAACCGACCTCGGGTCGTACAGCATTACTACCGACCTCAGGTCGGATAACATTACGACCGACCTCAGGTCGGATATCCATCCCAACCGACAGCAAGTCGGATGCCAACAGTGAATTAACAGGGGATGGATGGAACAACAAATTCCGACCGGACCTTCGAGCCAGTTCGCATCGGAAGTCACAACCAGGCTCGTGGTAGCAGATTTGACGGTTTTAACCGACCACATTCCATCGGCATTACCACTTGGCGACCACAGAAGTCGCACGACACAAGTACGGTTTTGTCCGACCTGACCTGAACTTTGGAATTCGGGACTTAGCCGGATTCCACGACCGCTGGTTAAACCTGCCAGTAGGTCGACCTTGGTCTGAGGACCTTGGTCCATTCCCCTTACTTAGAGAGGATGCTTCGGCATTCGCGAACGCGACAGTGCCTCTCTCTTTCCGGAACGGATAAGATACGAGTCGGACGTAAGTGTCAGCCGTGCTTACCCGACCTCGGACGAAAATTACCGGTTACGTGAGGTAACCCGGGAACCGACGCCCCGGACCTGACACACCGGACTGCACTTGGACAGGAGACCCCGTGGAAACTCAAGACCCGTGGACGTCATCCTAGTCGGAATAAGCCCCCAGGACAGATCTTTCTTTTAGTATTTTTGTACATTTTCTAACAAACGGAATTGTATTTTACTTAGAATCTCTAACCAGATCTGTTTTGCATTTACTTTTTGCTCACTGGAATTGTGATTAAAACTTTATTACTTTTTTACTTCGCGCTGCTTAACTGTCATTACTTTTCCTTTACTTTCTCCGCGAGCCAACAGAAGCAAGATGCCAGGCCAACAGAAGCAATACCGGTCCAACAACGAACCCCGAGCGGCTTCCAGATTTGCGGCCGTGAGTTGCTTGCCTCTCATGGATCTGGAAGTGAAGGATGGGACGGTCAACAGACACCGGACTCCCATTGGAAGAGGACGCGTACCGGCGACCCCACATGGGTCGACCGGAGAGGTGCGACGCTGGCGCGGTACTGAGTCGGAGCATCCTCGCAGGAGCTCGGATTCCCGCCCAGAGGCATGTTAGAGGCACGACAGCCTGCGTGATAGATACGCCACTTTGCGTATGCGTATCACTGCACACATGCTGATTCGCCTCTCTTGTACGTACGTGAGTGGCTGCACTGCACTCTCCGCCTATGCGGATACACCGCGGGCGCACTCACTGAGCATACTTGCTCTCTCGCTCCTCTCTCGCTGTATGACTCAGCGTATATTCGCTCGCGTTGGATACGAGTCCAGTCTGCGCACTCACATTCCATGTGTCTGGACAGCGTGACGCCGTTGCCGCCAGCACATTTCTTTCTCTACATTTCATTACGCTCTAGAACTAGCTCGCAGCAACTTGACTGCTCACTTTTCTGCCAGACATTGGCTTTGTTGTGTTTTTCCCCGCAATCACGCGGCATTTGCTCCACTTTATTAGTACAATAAAGTCATCTGTGAGCTCTCTGTGCTTGCCTGTCACAAGGTATTAACGTAAATAATGTTAACCCATATCACTGCCTCAAAATTAAAATTGTAAAGAACTGTAATGAAAAAGAGCAAAACTGAAAAATGAAAAATTGTAAATTTCAGTTACCGTTTCCTTTTGCACACAGCTTCGACACTTGATATCCATAAACTTAAATTTACAAACAAATATATACCTCTCGTAGAGTCTGCACCAAGTTCCAGTAATGTTTCCCCTTTTTCCGCAGTTAACATCCCTTCGATATAATCAGCCAGCACGCGATGATCACTTTCTTCCGCACTCAACCACAGAGTCTACAGAAACCAGTTTAGGGATAATTATGAAGCGCCAACACCGTGCTAACCAGCAATGTAAATATTATTATCCGATTATCCATGTATTTAACAACAGTAAACTGTAAACATTCCTCAACTGATACCAAATCCACAAACAACAAATGCAAAATAATAAATTGTGTTAATATTTTTTTACTACTGTACTATTTTGCTCTTAACTGTTTTTTTTTAAAGCTGGAGTTATGCAGACTTTATCGTCTGACGGTAGATCGCTACCTTGGCTGGCTGCGGCAGTGACGTCGCGCGCTGGTCGCTCTTGAAGCCACCGTCGCCGCGGTCCCCTTCCAGCTTCCATCCCCGAATATCCAGCGGGGTTTCCGCGGTTGGCGTCGTCATTCTGTCCGTCGTCCGCACCGTCTCCGGTCCGCAATGGAATTCTACAATGTTCACACTACATGTCGACTCGGGAAAGCCCGAGAAAGCGCGGGGTAAATCAGGTTCTACTCGCTTCAGCTACATGATGCAATGGATGCTATAGTCAAAATAATGATGTTCACAATCTGGCGCAGCTGTGGCTTTTATAGACAGACAGGCAATCTCAAACGTCCCGCGATGATGTCACGGGTAAAGAGCTAAATTAGCTGCGACTTAAGGAGGCTGACGAAATTACCTCGGATATTGCTAACGATCAAATTGATGTCATACAAGTGAGACTAACGGAAAACTGGAAAACATACAGATTTGCATCAGGCTCCACGCTGTCTACACGTGGTCCCCACTGTGACGTCTGTGTCGCACAAAATACCTCACCATAAAGTGGAACATAAGTGCAGTAAGTTAGCAGAAGCAGTCTAACAAAATAATTAGTGTATGTAACTAATTGAAAATCTGCAAATCTGAGTCTAATGCGTCAACGCATTTCCCATAATGCAAAAATATTTAAAAACTGTAAGCTTATGCCTTATAACTAATTTTGCCATTCAGCACTTTTGAGTTTTGAGTTTTGACTTTTGAGTGCATTTTTAATTTTTGTCATAATTTGTGGTCTGGTTCGTGTTTTCAGAATTCTAGCTGATACCACGAGGCTCTTACCTTGAGAGCAACAGTTTTGCAATGCAACCGCCCTTGGGAGGACGCACTTTTATAACTATCATATTTTGTACTTTGGCGGCTCGCTGCATTCAAAAATACAAACACACAAATCAGGAATGACAAAAACGATACTCGTACATTTTATTACGAGTAATACGTCTATTGTTTAAGTAGCTAATTTAACGTTTGTTTAAATTTTGTTGTTTACTAACATAGGCTTGTTGTTACCGGATAATGGCTTTAAACTTCTGCCGAAAAGATTTGACGAAAATCTGTTAGTGCCACGTTTTGGTTAGTGCTCTGCTTTCCCTTTCTTCTAGTTTTCAAAAATAGTCTTAAAAACATTTGAGCCGTATAGAACGCTTCATAAATACAATAAAATGAATAAATACATGATTTTCTCCTGCAGTTAGATTATCATCACACAAGGACCCGGTGTCCTTGAGCCATAAACAAATAACCATGCAGTAAGAAAAAAACTTTTCTTTGAGCTTTTGATTAAAGGAATAAAAACGGCGAAACAAATACTAAAAATGACAGATGCAGCAATATTAATGGTGCATTCTATGATTTTGAAACAAATTCTAAGTTCGTTGTTCATTGAGCATTTGTTTTGTTTGCTGTTTTTGCACGAATTGTATTATAAAATATGAAGCAACAGAAAAGAAACAAGAAGTTTTGTGCGCAGCTGTTCTGACGGTTACCTTTATCGAAAATAACCTAGAATAAATAGCGTTATCGATATCGCGTTTTTATCGGATTGATGTCCCTATAATCACAGCACTTGGGACATAAATATTATGGATAGCCAGTACGATTGTGTCATTTCTGTAACAAAATAAAATAAACAGTAGACGACTTCCTCTGCTGGTTTTGTATTTGCCGGTGATGTCCGGTATCGTGGTCTATACGTTAACTCAGGCTTTATTGTACAGTCTGTAAGTACTGTAAACCTCAGGCACTTCAGACGTATTTGCGGTTACAGTACAGGTACATACTGAAAAGCAGTAACTACACAAAAAGTCAAGAAAGCTCCAAAACTTCAAAAAGAAATTTCGAATACTGTGTAATATGTAAATGCCACGGGAATCCTTTTGTTTGCGACAGAATCAACAACAATCCTGACTTACAGTGTTCGGCCCCAGCACAACGCACGCGCGTACCAGTAATTATTGCTAGTGCTGTAAACTTACCGCTAGGTGCAATGAGTGATGAGTTTGAAAATTTTTCAAACTGTATGAATGCCATGCAGTGTTCATGATCAGTTTCATCTGCATGCAGTTATTGTATGACTGGCGTACTGAGTATAGTTCTGTACAATTAGAAATTTACTTTCATATTTTGTAATGAGTTTATAGTTGTAACTTTGTACTATCTGTACGTGTCTAAGCATACTACGAGTATGGTTTTTGGGTATAAATATCCAAAGGGCGTATTTGTATTCAATCATGACTTTCACCGAAATCGAAATACTAAAATGGCAACCAAATTTTAAAAAAACTGTCTGTTTAGAGTGACCTTGATAATAACTGGCACTTGCATTAATTTTACCGTACAATACACTGTATGGTGGTGCTACTTGTATTTTTCCATCGCAATGATCGGCACTCGCCGTTACTAAAATAATGTCATCTGGTCATTTATAGTCGCATGCGTTCTTTACATATCCGGTTTTTTTCGTATTTAAATGGCCTGCGGCTTGCCTTTTCGTCGTGGAAATATGTACTTGTACATTATTATGTTTCTTCAATAGCCTGTACAATCCACCGCGGCAATATGATCGCCGGCCCGATCATGAACTGTTTGTTAGGCGGATGACTAATCCTATCATAAACTTACCAACGGGTGATTAAAATCTTTTCTTACCCAATCATCAAAGATAACCGGTACGAGCGGGTTCGGCCCATGACTACCCAAGACCCCTCCTCAATGACCATAAATGCACATTGGTGTTTACACTTTACAGCGGAAACCAATACTAAGAGACCGTACGCGACGGCCGCATACAGTATGTATACAACACATAGACAAAATAATGCGGCTGTGCAACGTCGTTGAGACTCATTGAACTCTAGCAGACCCTGCGTAGTGTTTCGAATTTCCGAAGACGTTTTACTGCAGCATTGTTGGATCGTTCAACTTGTACCACTAACAGAGGTAAATCCCATCGCTACGTTTGAATTCTACTGGATCGGGGACCTGCTTGATCGGCTGATTAAATTTGGTAAGTCTTAATTAGATCCTCAATTCGAGCGTAATTGGCAGACCACTTTAAAGGTCAGTAACAGAAGGTGGACAGTGCACACGCATACCTAACGATTGGACATTCAGTATTGGGTTCACTTATTACATATACATATAACTGCAGATTTGTCTTAATTTGTAAGAAGCTTTAAAATGCTCTTTTTACATTTTTGAATAAAATGGTTATTGCTTTGCAGTGCCATAATATTCCCAGCTCATAATATCGAAAATGCCATTCGTTGCTGCCGAGCAGCCCAAATGTCCGAAGTGCGGAAAGTCTGTGTACACGGCGGAAGAACGTATTGCTGCCAATGCGAAATGGCATAAGAGTTGTTTCAAGTGCGGTAAGTTTCGAGCGCGATATGTAAACGCGGCCCCCACACGCACGTAGATGAATGACTTCAGTTCCACCACGTCTTGATGATGTGTTTGGAAAACCAGTCTACCTTTTCCATGAGAGTATTTTCTATCCCCACAATAAATCTGTTTTATTGTTGATAAAGTCACATGCTGCTGCAGAAATCCATTGCGAATTCAGCAGTAATGAAATCAGATAAATATGCAGTGTCAATAGAGTAACACGGACTTCATCGTAATTCTACCGGCAGTATCACTGCTGAAAAATTTCTTGGTAGAGCTGGAGTTTTTTTTTACATAAATGCCAATACATGCGTACTAATTTTATAATCGGTTAATTGTACAGTGTTTCGCACTATTACCATATATATAACAGCATTTACAGTTCCTTAAAAAACAAAAATCAGATTCTAAAAAGGCGCAACTAGCACTAAACAGGCTTATTCACGAATCTAGTACAGATAGTGATCAATTAATAAGATAATCATTACGTTGTTGTGTCATATCTACCAACAGCAGCTTACTAATACTTCTGGTAGATATTTTAACTTCATCGATACTGGACAGTATGGTAGGAGCAAGGTGGTAGGAGTATTCGAAACGCAGCAAGGAAATTTGGCGCCTACGAGTAGTTTGTAATCTAGCAGTAATTAACAAAGCATCAATTGCTACCGGAAAGGTGTTTTCGAGTTTGCCTTGTTCAACAAGGCTAATATAGATTTCCGGAGACGGACCAGATCTTTTCAAGTCTGATATACAGTACGTCGCTAAAAACTACATGTGAATTTACTTAATTTATGAGAGTAAGGGGAAAATGTTCAGTATAAGCGCCACATATAAAGTTCTGTCTGCAAGAAAGATAGACTACAAATACAGAAAAGCTTGGTTGATTTTGCTTTCTTTGTCAATCAGTAAAATTATGATATTATCTACATTACTGCAATGCAGATAATATACTTTCATGTGCATAAAAGAATCTCGAATTTTGGACTTTTGCAACCACATCCATCTTTCTATGTGAACAATAATTTCTTTGTTCGAGTGTTTGTTGGTAATCATTAATGCTACATATTTCGAAAGATAATCTGAAAAAATTGTCTAATGGATTGTTGATCCTTTATGGGTATACAGAGTACAAACGCCTAGAATAATGCATTGCGCGTATGCAATACGTCGCGCTTTACGAAAGGTTTATAGTCATCGTTAAAATCGATATTCCAGCATATCACAGGAAGAGTCAGCGGATGACTGTTCAAACGGTTACACGGGAACGCTTAATTAGGTGGGAATACCCTGGATGACCATTACAGCGATTCTCTTATTTGTTATGTGGGAAATGCGCTATACTGACTTGTGAAGTGCAAACATTTTGTATAAAATCTCAAACTACTGTACAATATATACATTTAGGTTACATAGGATAGAAATTAGTAACAAAAAAATGGATACTCCGTATCGTAAAAGCTAGCTGTAACGCTGTTTCAAATATCCAAAAGGAGCTTGATGTTTAGGACTGTGCCAGAAACTTCTGGACTCTACCAACGTGACCGAGCACAATGGAGAAATTTTTTGTCGGCATTGTTACGGACGGAAATTCGGACCTAAAGGAGTGGGATTCGGTCAGGGTGCCGGCACTCTGGGGATGGACGTTGGTGAACATCTCGGCAACCGCACATCCGAAATGACGTAAGAACTTGCAGAATTCCTAAAGTGGGTTTCCTTTCCTCTACACTGTAGTTGTCAAGGTCATTAATGGTACTTGTTTACATTCGCCCAGAATGTCTTTCAGTGAAAACGGCCAAAATGCTGGCAGGTTTAGATTTTAATTAATGCAACTGATGACACATTCAGAGTTTTAATTTATAAAGCTTTCTAATTTGCAAATACCACCTGAGGTTATATTACTGTATTCTGTATACGACTAATAGTTTAATACGATTATATTATAATTTATGCAATGAAAACATTTACTTCGGGAAAGCATGTACTGTAGCTGTGTTAAGCTAATGCGCCATATATATATACCTTCGAATCGGGTCAATTGTGTTGAATTGTAAGTTAAAACATAGAACGCATAGACACCAGAAACCTTAAAGGACCTGTACCAAATAAAATATTTTTTAGCTTATTCAAAGCTTAAAATTGCTGTTAACGAATTGTTTCTTTTTTTGTAGTAACACACACCACTCGACCAACTTCTAGCTTAGCGCAGAAACGTTGGTACGAGTACACGGAAACACTGGAACAGGTGGAAGAGTGCTTCTGCGCAGTCAGTGATTAACAACGTATTCCCGATGCCATCAAATATTCCATAATCTCAAATCCCAGAAAATTTTCCAAGACGATAGTTTTATTGCTGCTAATGATATATCGATTCTGTAGACTGTCCTTAACTTCACTATCTTCTGCGCGCTGTCTCCTATTCCAGATGCCATTAATCCAATTCTTACTACGTTGTGATTCGGCAGTTAATTGTTAACGTTTGTTTTATGTCTTCACTCTGGTTTAAATTAGGAACTTGCTGTTTCAATCGATTTGTTGACAGGATTGGCGTTCAGTTTGTATAGATTCCTTGTTGTAACCAGCAATATCCAGTTGTAATACAAATGTCGTGGAGAGCTATTTGAGATTTCGCATTTACAATCTTTACTATACGTATTACTTATTGCTGACAATAATGTTTCGCCAGGTAACAATGCGAGACCTACGGGTTGCCCCTCACAATGATACATTTTCTTACAGTTTAAACGTTTTACAGCTGCATTCGCTAAATGTAAGTATGTACAACAACACAACAACATAATTATTATTATTATTATTATTGTAATCTGTAATCATATCCAAATTTCGCAAAGAACTAAGATATAAGTATCTATACTTCTATAGAATATACGCAATGCGTCAAGAGTAGAATGCAATACAGAGTGCATAAACCGGCGACATGCAGTATTGGAGGTCCTCGTTCACCATGGAATTTCATGGAAATTCCCAGTAATGATGTGGAAACAGGAGTGCAGTTAAATTGCAGTGGGATGAGGGTTTTGTCCTGTCTATAAGTACAGTACAGATACTACAATACAATCTAATCAATTCAACCGGAGCCGCAGTTGACTCAGAGATACGAGTACAGTGAGAATTAAATTGGCGCACAAAAAAGAATTCACACTTTCAGCTGCACTACTTCTATGTTGAATAAAATCTTGATTTCTGATGCCATTAACTTCACCGTAAATATAAACTATGACGAATAATTCAATTCTACCCTGCTCTGGAAAATTAATACTTGTGGCAGTTGCAATGCACATCTTTTGTCTTATGTATTCGTCTTATTTAAGTTACCTATATTACCCAAGATTACTATTCGCCGTAAAATTAGTACCCAAGAGACCCGGATGTGCCCTGCCACAACGGCACTTCGAAAAACATCAGGACTTAAAGAATTTTGGTGAAATATAACAGAACTTTCAGATATTCCAACCGACCGTCGATTAATTAGCAAGGATCGTCGGCAGGAATGCATCACCGATGACGATAAGAAACAACACACGCGTAGTCAGAGCCAACGTACATCTCTGCCCGAAAGCGACCATTGCCTATCCAAGCATGTACAGGATATTGTGCGTAAAGCCCAACATGCGTCGATGCCTTGAAGGAACAACTCTTCCTGGATGACCACCGGAAGTGCCTGCGTTTGCAAGCGGACAATTATGACGTTACTAGCTACGTGCCGATCTCCTACCTGAACCATCGCTTGGACAAACACATCAGTTGTTGATTTAAGCAAAACATCGGCATTGTGGGTCACGGTATGCAGATTTCTTGGCGATTACGTGTTGCATTGAGACCGCATGCGGCCGCCGCGCCGACGTCATGGAGGAAGAAGGAAAAACGGTATTACCGTTTCCGGTGGCGGGGCGGTGACGACAGGCCGCGCGAACCAACCACCATCGCGCTGGCTGCTTGCCACACTGTACAGGCATTAGTCAGCGCATTTCCACAACAAATCTCGCCAATTTCTGCACCTTTGGATGATGCGAGACAGGAATAAAAGCAAGGAGTTCTCGCCGTTTTTACTGAGCTTCCATCGTTTAGCAGGGACGTTTCAGCTGCGTAATCGAACGTTTCACTTTGTCGTTTTTCTTGAGCGTGCAGTAAGTGCCAATTTCGGCGCCTTACACCATTCATCGGATCTTGTTGTACAATTCCCTCGGAGCAGCGAGAATGAGTGATCCCAGGTTGAGGAATCTCAAAGTGAAGACCGGCGTAGTGAAACGGTAATGCTGGAAATTTCCTGCCCGTAGAACTTCGAATTATCAATGTGATTTTGCAGGCTGTTTAAAGAGAAAATTTCCTACGAGAAAGAAATGGAGAAAGAACGGCAAAAGCTTAATGGGATGAAGCAGAAAGGAGAAGACGAATACCGTGTAAAGAAGCAGGTATGTTGTCTTCAGTCAAATTGTTGCATCTTAGCATCCTGTCACGAAGAAATGCTCTTGTTAGGAAGAAGTGGTGCAAGAATGCCTTATGATGATCCCTAATTGCAAAATCCGTCTTTCCAATGCGTGGACCGATCTCAAAACAACTTTGGTAAGTCGACAAGCAACCTGCAACAGGATATTTTTTTATTCCATTGGCTAATTTAATTATGGTTAAAGTCGTCAATATTCTGTACGTTTATCGGATTAGTATAGTAGCGTACGGGGACCGATGTTGGCAAGGTCTATTTTTTGTTTACATAATTTTTTGCGTTGTTATAAAATAGTAGTTGTGTTTTACTAATAAGACTTGTATGAGCATCTGAATAGATATAGATTCAAAAACGAAAACCCGGTACGAAACTTTTCGATAAACTAGGAAAGTGCACTCGCTTTTTGCGGGCACTGCATGACCGAAGCGTAGCGTGCTCGCATCACGGTTTTTTTCCGGAATGAACCATTTAAAGCTGCCTTCTTCAAAGTTAATAATTTGTCAAAGAATTAATAATCGCGCAGTTTTCACAAAAAACGAAGAGTGCATTTCCTGATATGGTCAAAGAACCGCCTCTTGTATTTCGACACAGGTATTTATTGTGATCAATTCCCAAAATCAATTTCTTAATTTATCTGGTGTTCTTAATTTATCTGGTGTCATCAAAATTACCATGAAACTGTGACATGTCCAAATCGGCGAGTTAACCTGAAGCGACTGCTCGTAGGTAGACAGCAGTGACGCATCACTGACGCATTTTTCTAGTTGGCTGTTAAGGAACAATCTCTGAACCAAGAAAACTAGCTTTGGGTTGATTAAGCCAAATGTATTAGGCATATGTGGTAGTACTATCTTGGTTAATATTAAACGGTATAAGTGCTTTGCTTTTCTCGTTACCTGAGGTTGTACCTTAAATTGTCGGGAATACTATGAGTAGAAGTGCAAAATGAATGTGAATTGCTGGGGTTGTGTAGTGCAATGACGCCTGCATTCATACCGGTCGTGAGTCGTGACTTGCTGAAATCTTGAGAATTGTTAAAGTGTCAGTATTTAAATGTTATTTTTACATTTATTGGAGAACGCGTAAAAACGAAGAAGGATATGAAGAAGTGGATGTATTTTTATTGCAAAATTTACCTAGAAATATTGCTTTAGGATTCCGAACCGGGCTTCAGTAACACGGAAGAGTACCGAGAGGCCAAGAAAGTACTGGATGAAGTGGAACCAAATCTGCGTTAAAGCATATCCCCCGAGAAGGAAATGTGTGATTGATAATTGTATGATATATTCATTCCACAAGTTAGACCCGCCAACAAGAGACCCCATTGTAACCTGACTGCTTTGGAATGCTCCTAGTCGTTTCCTTCTGTTGTCTGTATTTCCAAACCCAACGGTATCGTATGTTTTACGAGAACGCCTAACCTACGTGGGTACTTACTTACACGTTTGATTCCTTGATTTTGGTTGTCTTTTTTCCCGTGATGTCATTTTTCTTACGTAAAAAATTGCTGTCATTGTTCGTGTAATCACCGTTTACGCACGCACCTCCGCCGAAGTCACGAACGTGCGATTTTCCACATTGGTTTAGAGGATGTAATATCTTGCAAAGCTGTCAGTTTTTTTTATTGTAAAGATGAACGCCACGACGATGTGGTGGTGGAGATTTTAAGCAGCATTATCATGGTTTCTTTTGAGGTGTTTTATTATGTTAAAAACTATCTATTAAATGTCCGTTTTGGGGCTTGTGTTGGTGCCGGTATGGATAAGGGGAAGAGGTCGCGCCAACGGCTTGGCCATTCTGTCGTTGACAAAGCGGGACCTGTATGGTTATTAGCTTTTAGCAGGAAATCAATCAGTTGTCAGTACGTGTTAGTGTTTAGGGAAGTTTTGCGTTACACTGATTCTTTGGCGCGCTGCTGTTGTTGACGGGGGCATTGAAGGGGAGAGAGAGTTGAGGTGACATTAAACGATGGAAATCGATCCGCCGGTAGGTAAAGTTCAGGTGAATTTGCTTATTCTGTCGGCAGCTGGCAGTGCTGGAAGCTGACCAGGCGTGCAAAACGGGCAAAGCAGGAGGCATGGCGCTTTGGTTGGAATTGGGAAGAATGGGCGCAATAGAAAGTACCGACGCGAAGGGGACTCTAGTCTCTTTGTGTGTGCTAAGATGGATAGGTAATCGGTTCGGGGATTTACAGAGAAGCCGGCAGTACGTGCAGTGCATCTGAATGTCTGTTGACCGTGGCTACCGGAAAAACGTCAGCAGCCGGTGACAGTGCGCGCTGCTGCGGCAAACAGGTCGTTGAATAATCAAATGTCCGCCACAGCACATTTTTCCTGTCAATTCACTTTTTTCCACGCTTTCCTGTCGACTGTTATACGGTAAAATACGAACAACCTGCTGTAAGGAAAGAGACTTGCTGCATCATCGTATTTCATTTACATGCACTGTTATGCGTAATAGCAGTTCCCGTTAAGCGTAGTAATGATTAATTTCAACAAACTATCTTCGGTTTTATCAGAATATTCTTGCGATGACAGAATGACACACTGAAATAAAGGATCACTAACTAATTTGTCGAAACTGCACTGACTTCAGACTTGTGAGCTGTAACAGAAAGCAGACGAGGAACCGGCGCTACAATTTTTGATTTACGTGTACGCACGCTTTCCTCAGTTTCTACACTACAAATCACCAGTTCATGAACTGGTGTTTTGTAGTGTAGAAACTGAGGAAAGTAGTCTGAAGCGATAAAAGATCTTAAAGTTAGCAGATACTTTGCTTACAATTTAACGCGGTGATACTTATACTGGATACGCTACTTTGCGATAACCCCAGGTATCTTGAAAGTCTTTCTTGAAGTTTTTCATATTATTAATACTGGAAGCTCGGAATTGGTTGTCGATTAACACTTATGTACAAATAATTTAGCACATTCAACAATTGCACAACTTTTTTGCTTGTGTTCGGGCAGAAATGCTTCACACGGTTGTGCACTTGAAACGGTATGCAATGCGCGCATATTGCACAGGGATCCGGCAGAACAGGAAGCGGTCTTCCCAAATTAAAAACTAAATCTTATTCGCCGAAACTCACACATTTAAAATTTGAAATCAAAAAGCCTAATTTGGATTCAAATATTATAGCAGACTGGCATAAATACGATGACGTAAAGTATGATGTGTAAATGCACATACATGGGGTCTGGGACATTAATAAATTACGTTTGCTTGCTGCGTCATTGTAAATCACCATTTTAAGATGGACAGTTCACATTGTCATTTGGTTTAGTAAACCTAATTTTGAAATCAGCATTGTGTTTGTGCATAGGATTCTGTAAAAAGCAATTAGACATGCAAAGAAAAATCCGATCCCTTAAAAGCTGACGATAAATCAGCAACAGACTGAAATCTCGGTGGCGTGTGCCAGTGAAGCCTGTGAAGGCAGACAAGTTATTGTTTTTTTTCTATGCAAATATCATATACGCATTTTATTTAGCAAATTACAATACATGGTTTCAACTTTCCACTTTGTTGCAACAGAATTTTGTATGTCCTGAACGGTTAGCTTTTCCTCCAAAAAAGAGCTACACGCTAGTGTTACATGATCGTTCCAAAAGTTGTGTAAAGAGATTTCACTCAGGAAGTTGCAAATCCTACGATGGTGTACATTGAAAAGTAAAACATTATTGCTTCTACATTCGAGATAACTCAGACATTGATCAGATACACCTCTCCTGACAGGAAGCATGCATTGTCCTCGTAATAATACTGCACATATGCATAACAAAGTCGATGCGTCAAGGGGCATTGTTACTGTTAAAGGGCATCCCATAACCGCTGCACTAAACGCTATACGACTGACTCGACAAGGTGATATATATGCATGCAGCACGGGTAATATTCATGAGCATTTTTCAACAACGGACACAGGAAGAAGAGCTGACGACGATAGAGATAATTTGTAAAATGGAGCAATTACTCATGTTCAAATGCCGAATGATATTTGAGATAGGTGTTCAACCTGTTTTCCGAGATTGCATACATATGTATATATGTATTTGGTCAACACCGGCTGCGCTGCACCGACTGTCCGTCACTGTGCATAGGCAACAACAACCTCGCCGGTCGGGGTTAGGTTAACTAACACATACACACACATTAACCGTGCGCATTTAAAATCGGTTTGAACTATTTTATAATTGCAATACTCGGCTATAGTGTGGTGGCACATATGATGAGGAGAGGGCTGACCAAAGAGGAAGCAGTTTAGTAGCAGTTGCTTCAAGTGTTTGTTTAAAGAGAATCGCCATTATTCGGCGGAATTGTTGTCCATTAAGTCAGCAAACTGAACATTATTGTGGAGAAGTTAGACGTTTTATCCGCGACCAGGCGTAGGCAGGACACACTAATATACGAGTACCGGGGTGTTGTGTGTATATGTATGTACTGCAGAGTATTGGCTAACTTTATGCCGTTGTCTACCTATAATGCAATTCACCTTCTCGTCAAGAAAGTTGGTGTGTCGGCAAATGTTGTCCTAACGCCCGCGCCGCTACCGGCGAATTTTACGAATATGGAGCACTTTATATAATTTTCCACTATTCTTGACGTGCACAACGATAACGAAACAGTTTTCGTAGTCCATTTGTAGCTTGTGCACGGGCAGTTACATTCTCCAGTCTCTGTTAATGATACCATATACGGATCACGTTGGATTACCATGATTGCATGCTATGTCCTCAAATTCCAGTATTTGTCCCCTATTTTACGTCAAAGTTGCGTTTCGAAAGAGAGCTGTCTCTTAGACAGGCAGAATTTACAGATCTGTCATGGAGTTGCTCTCTTTCGAAATTGGCTTGACCTTTACCCATATATTCGAGACGAAGACTTCGGGAATATGCCGCCTGTTGTGTTGCTGGGTTTGCCGGTTGGTTGGACGTTATAAATAATTTAAATATTGGTCTGTTGTCGGTTCTGTCAGAACTTCTTCCAAGCTAACTTGGGCACCGCTATTCAGAATTGTTGTCAAGATCCACACTTCATGCGAACTAACCTACGTATGTGTTACCTTTTTCTGGACGATGGTTTGCCGAAACCTCGATCAGCAGTAAAAGGTGTACACCGTACAGGTAAAAAAATCAGTGGCTCAAAAATCACTGTGATAAATTATAACTGCTTAAAATGACGCGTGCAATATAAACTGCATAACTAGCATAAATAATATATTTGCTAATCGTAGAACTTAGAAGTTCGAAAATTTTGAGTTCTCTCGGATTTTCTATCAAGTTTAGTCCATATCCTACAGAGTATATGCAGACAAAGACCCGCACGAGATGTTGGTTTTTTGCAACATCACCGATTGACGCATAGGAACCTACATTAAGAACGAAAACGGTCATGCCTTTCAAAATATCAGTCAGGAAGCAGTGGTTTTGTCTTTAGTTTTTAAGGCACTGCTCTTAAACGAGCATTTCCAAGTACCTTGTTGCATGGCTCGTATGTCATACCTCCACGATTATGTTTTTTTATCCCCGGACTCACTTCGTGCCGCGCCGTGTTGACACAAGTCAAACACGATCATGGTATCGAAAACATCCAATGAATACGGGCTTTCAGGTTTTCAATAGACCAATTTTCATCCTTTCGCCGGTCAGCAAAAACATTTTAACCGTCCTTCTATAGCAATTACCGTAGCCGTAGCTTTTCATTACCCTTTCCCATATCCGCCAATAATTTTCGGATTTTAACTCTCCCATAAAGAAATTCAAAACAACATATTAACATAAAAAGTTCACCGGTTTTTATTGAGATTCTGAAAAGTTTTTCTGAGTCGGTACAATATGAGATAACCAGTCAAACAATTTTGATCTGGTATTAATTTCGATATACGAGCATCATATGTACATATACGTATCATCGTAATCACTATCGGAATCACTCAAATTCTCCATCTCCCGGGCATACCATTCATGAATGGCCGCCACCTGCTCCGCTAGTTTCTTCTGCGACTCCTCAACCTCCGTGGCCAGTTTTTCCTCCCCGATGGAATCTTCCAAGGGCGCCGGAGGGGGTGGAACTACCGGTGTCTCCTTCTCGACGCCCTCCATCACTTCCGCCAGACCTTTCGCCGCCGGTGTAGTGCGACCGCTGCGTCCGCGGGTGCTCTTGCCGCTGGACAGACGACCGGTTTCCCGATGCTCCGGCAACGGCGGTTCGGTGGCATCCGAACGGGACGGCTGCAGATAGCGCCGGCCCAGTTGACCGGAAATACTACCGGCACGCTCCGCCACGCCGGTCTTGCGTTTGCGGGTTTCCGGTTTGCTCTCCTGGTCGGCGGCCACCGTGGTGCGCTCCGGACCGGCACCGAAGAGGGCTTCGTTCTGGGCACGCAGGCTGTGGATGAGGCTCTGTTGGCCCTTTTGTTTCTATCGATGCAAAGGAACAGGTGAGATATCAATTCAAACTTCCACGGCACGGTGTACGAAAAAGTTTATTTCGTTTCTATCATAAACGACATGCAGTAATTCCTACTGAATAAAGTTCTGTAATTATGTTAATTTTTATTGCTAAATAATACTTCTATAGAAAATCTACATTCTATCCGATAACGTTTCACAACATTTTCTGCATGTCCATTGGTTGTGGATTTCTGTGTAAGGATTATCATAGTGCAGTGTACCCAGTACAACCCGATGTCCCATAATTATGCGTTCGGCAGCCAAAGGGTAAGTTGCGTGTAAAGTACTTGTACAAAGAATTTAATTTTGAAACATAAAAATTTTTATTATAACAGAAAAATTTTGGTCTCTTTGGATGCTCGGCGATGTACATTCGCGTTTTATAACAAACACTTCTCTAAGCATACGTGAAATTTTTTAGTACTGGTAAAATGGTCAGATGTGTGCAAACGACTCCGAGACTGATCACCAACATTTACCATTCTCATTTTACGTATGCAGTTATCCAACCAGGAGCGTATGGTCTGCTTGGCCACTTCCTCTTCAATTTGGTACTCAAGTTCCTCCCGTGCCAATAATTCTTCAAACTGCAGACTCTTGCGAATATCAACGGACCGATACGACAGCATGCTGTAAGACGGTGAGAGAAAAAAGTGCATAGTTAACATGTCTGTAAAATTCACTCAGTGGTAATATGATGCAGTTTCTCAGCCCAGCCCATCGTCCTGCTACGGTAACAGATTGTTCAACAAGCTATCGGACCGGCTGGCTAGCTGGCGCGGACGACGGGGATCGGAGGAGGAAATGTAACTGCATTTCGAGTGGCTCATAATCATGCTCGCCTACTTGAGAACATCGTGGAACGTCACGTCGCCGCCATTGTGCAGGCGCTCCATTTCGTGGCACATGTGCTTCAGGTACAGCCGCTCTTTGTCCAAGTCCACTTCCAAGCGGTCCTACGTAGACAAGAGATTACATGATATTTTCACACTATGTGCACCGAAAAATTACCGGTATTACACGCGTCGTAAGTTCGTAACACATATAATACAAACAAATTTTTTAAAAAAGTACACTTTCAAAACATTTTTTTTGCATGTGCGTAATTATTTGGAAAACATGTTATATATTTTGCTTCACAAATTTGAGTGTAAATTTGTAATCGATATTGTTGTACCGTAATATGCGCTGATGTACATTTTTACAGTCTTGAAAATATTACGCTTATGTACAAGCACATACCTTCAACAGCCTCAAGATGAATTTGACTCGCTTCACCGGAATAAATCCCTACAGCAAATAATACGGACAAGGATTAGAGCCATGTACAAAATTACATTATTGACTTTAGGTACCTTTTGGTGAATATCTACAATATTCCAAGTAAACTGGAAATTCCGTAGGTCAGCATGACTCAATAGAGCATCTTCCTCATTGGTGTAAAACAGCGAAAAATTTTCGATAATGATGGCTGAAAGACAATTTTGGTTATTCTTGCGCAATATTCGGACAAAATATGGAATTTGTCATGAACAATCACTTGTTATAGAAAATTTACAATATTAATAATTTCATTACTAACCGACTAGTAGGTTGAGCACAATGTAGGTGATAATGACATAAAAGGAGCAAAAGTAAATCAAGGCCGCTGTCCAGTTCCCACAGTCCGTCTCCCAAAAGTTATTCCCCGGTGTCCGTGTGCAGAACGGCGGGGTCACCATGCAGTCATGCATAATGCGGTTCCAGTCTTCGCCGGTAACAATACGGAACAGCACGCTGATGGCGCGCGGAGCATGTTGAAAGTTGGCATGTCTAGCGTGCAAACAAGCGTCACAAAATGACGATCATCTTACAAGATCAATACATCCGTTCTCCCTTGATTCGGCTGATTATGCGCTTTTAGTGCGGGATCTCGCTAAATCGAATTTGCGCTCTCTCCTACCTGCCCAGATTGTCGCCCCACTTGACGCAGCCGAAAAGAATCACACCGGCGAAAGCGTAGAATAGCATCAATAAAAACATCCACAGAATGATGAAGAAGGATTTCACCATAGAGACGCCCACCGTCAACATCAGCATCTTTAGGGTAGCCTAACAATTGCAAAGACAGGTCACTTGCATGTGTAAAGTTGCATCAAAAACCATTAGTTAATAAAACAGATACTTCTACTAGTTATGTACTACAGACTGCAGAAGTTTATTTACATCTTTATTTCCATTAACAAAAAAATGCTGCTCGATACCGCTAAATTTAACTGCTATGATGTTAACCGAAAAAGGTGACAAAATTATTTTAGACTGTAAATAGCGCGATCCCCAGACAAACACTGACTATACGCGACCACAGAGAACGAATCTTTTTAAATGTTATGCCGCTACACTACATGTCACCATACATGTTTGCCCGTTATGGTGGTAAACCGCAGGATTGTCACGAAGAAACCAAGTGAATTTGTAGTATCATTCTGTAAAAAGAAGAGCCAAAATAGTTATTCAATAATAATTCCTAAACCGTCAAATGTTCGCTATCCCACCATCCAGATAAAATGCGCTACAATCCAGACCACTCCCAGAACGGTAACCAAGAGATCGTAGCGATTACGCCGGCTCTGCCAGTATCCGTGCGGCGAAAAGGCGATCATCTTCATAACCACTTCGCACACGAACACCCAGTTAAATACGACAGAAATCGTGGTCAGAAAGACGGTGTGTGGTTCCGACGATGTCCACTAAACAAGACGTTACGATCATCAGTTTGACATTAACAACAACTAGCGCATATGGTAAAGAAAGCTAAAAATAAAGGATAATAAATTATTTGTAGCAACTATGTTAAATTGTATTAAATACTATTTACTTACAGACAGGCAAAGCAGCGCACTGGTTGCCAAAACAAGAGCCGCCATGAAACGCTTGAAATAAATGTTCTGGATGATATTGTATACAAAAGCTCGTAGAGGATTGTGGTCTGCAAAACATTTCCAAAAATTATTCCGGTTTCCGAAAATATAGCGCTCTGACCTCGCATGCGCACCAACGTAACAACGGCTTAAGGAAAGTATACAAAAAAATCAACGACGTACCGGGTCGAGAAGGAAGATGTAAAGGCTGCGCGATTTTCAATCGTTTCTTCAAATCACACCAACGTCGTTGATCGACCGTCAGCAAAGCTGTGCCCTAGCATTATCATAATGATATTTAGATACCATAAACAAATTTTTTTGTCTGTAATTATTAACTAGGAAAGTGCACCGCTGTTGGCTAGCACTGAAATACCGAAGCGAAGCGGGAAAAAAAATTATATAAACACTTCAGAAAGTTTATTTTTTTTAAAATTTGCCCATTTTCAATTATTATTTTTTGTCTCCATTAAATACAGTTTTCGACAGTATTTTTTTTAAAGATTTTTAAATTATTAAGGCGTGACCGATGTGACCGACGCGACCGACAAAAGTCCCGTTTTCCCAAACATAGAGGACCTTCGCTTCGCTTCGGTCGACAAAAAGGTATCTTTCTGTAGCTACTATTACAAAAGCGTCGAAGGTAATAAGCAAATACCACTTAGTCTCGATATAAGTAAGCATCATCAGTCAAAATAGGTCACGCCGGAGCCTCAGAGAGTCAAAGCCTTTATACTACGACACAATCATAACCTTAGCAGCTTACGGTGCAACCTCATTGTCAGTCATACCTTATTCTCGCTGTAATTGGCAATAACGACACCAACGAATAAAGTCAATCCAATCATCGATCCCAGAAAAACGTATATGTGCACATAAATGGCGTGTGACTGAAAAAAACACAGACATCGCTCAATATTACATTTCGTAGAAAACAGTTTTATCTGGGAATACCGTTCCGAGGTGAACGATGAGCATGTCGCGGATTTCCAGCCAGCCTTTGAAGGAGAGAATCTCGAACAGCGCCAGCATTGCCATGCCGATATCGTCAAAATGAAAATTTCTTGGATTAGACCTAACATTCGGAAAGCATCGAACACATGCTAAATAAAATACAAAAATACACAATTTCGCAGTAATGCCAACGTAGTACGTACCATACTCTGGGCACTAACATCCTTGGAGCCGTATTTTCAGGTGCCGGAGGAATTTTCATCTTGGCAATGAATACTTTACGCCAGAATACGCCGACACATTTCTCCTGCAAATCGGGTAATTTAAGGGTATGGTACAATAATATCACTACTGTATCGTCTGCTCAACAGTCAACCAAAAAATATTGGTGAAAGATAACATTTCAGTTTTTCCGCTGTGTAATATTTAACCAACAAACTTTGTTCTGGGGATGTATTTCAAACTGCCAGTGCTCTACGAATCATACGTAGGCTACGAGGTATGGATGCACGAAAAATGTGATGGAAAATTCAGACAAGAGATCCCAAGGTGTGTGATGATACTCCCAGAAATCACGTGTATGCATGCAAAAGGAGGATTTCATCAATTTCTCCGGCTAACTTATTATAGCATTTTTACTCTAGTTTGCTAATAACTGAACAACAGTTGCAAATGCCCTTAAAAAAAGGCGGTTTCACTTAAGACGTGCGGTAAGCTTTTGTGTTAACGCTGATGTGCCACAATTTCATTAAGCGTTCGATAAAACACGTTCAAAAATGTTGTAAAATTACAACTTAATAATAGTACAGAGTATAACAAACCATATCCGTGCAAAACTGCACGTACCCGTGTGAGTATATCGGGATCCGTACAACGCGCCAGTTTCCCACCATACAACTGCACGCCAAACGACGCAAACATGAACATCAAAATAATCAGCAGAATGGAGACGAGAAAGATTTCCTTGAATCCCCGGCACAATTCGATAACCACTTTGCGCATATGGGGAACCAGGATGAAGATGCGCAGCGGACGCAGACAACGCAGCACCATCAGAAACTGGACACTGGACCGCTCCGGCACTTCCTTCGGCATCCAAACGATAAAGACTAAACTGATCTGCAAAACAGCAAACTGTTTAAGAATCTATCTGTAGCATGCGAGCGCAAGATTCAGAATTACCGTGTAGATGAAAAGGTCAAGTACGCCACCCGTATCCCGGATCACCGCTTTGGGCGTGAAGAAAAACCCATCCGCCAGAATTTTTAACAGCATCTCGATGCTCATGCACACCACGAAACCATATTCTGCGATCTGAAAGCAGAAACCATACGCATTCACACCCCGACAAAAAATTATAACTATAATAAAAGTTTTAAAAATTTGATATTTTGCGGGGCGAATGGTTTAAAACTTCAAATCGGATTAGCTATTAGAAAGGCTGTGAATTCTTGGCATTTGCCAAAGAAAACAACTTAATGTATGATGGTGCCGGTTGTTTGCTACATTTAGCTAGCGTACAACCGTAGTGCAGTGCCCCACTGCTGTTACACAAACCAGTAATCATGAATTAAATATTACATTACAGAGTTCAATAGCATTCCGAGGAAAAATAGATATTTTTGCCGGCATCTTTAAAAAACACCCAGTTTAAATTAGATTAATTTTAACGTTTCACAATTAAATATACGCATTCATGTACCTGCAGCGTCGGTGTGTCCATGATGCGTCGGAAGGGCGTCTCGAAGCTCATGGAGATGCAGGATAACACCGTAGCCACAATCATCACCCAATCCAGATACGTCACAAGGCCCAGCAGGCGGTGTAGATCTTTATAGCTGCTTTTAATCTCCTTCCCGCTGACGGGATCCCGTTTAATAGCTTCGTAGCGTGCGTATACAATGGTCTGACACAGTTTCCGGAAGCGCGATTCCCGCCCGACAACAAACAAGGGCGTATCGAAATTGGGATGATTTTCACGCAAATCCTCTTCCTGTTGAAAACTATAAGGAACATTATGGTTAGCTATTACGCCAGACAGCGGTGCTAACTGATTTTCCTTACCGACGTATTTCGGCTTGTTGTTTTTTCTGCTGCAACAGCTTCATATCGATATCCTGTTCACGCCGGCTGGCCAATCCGCCGGCGTCACCGTTTTCCCGGGTGTAGTCCTGTGTGAATTTTCCTTTTGAGATATTGGTAGGGCCTCCTCTGACGCTCCTAGAAAAAAGCAGTTATTGTAGCAGCTTACCATGCGTCGAAAACAAAATTCTCGTGGACTGTTCAGGCCGAAATACATTCTTCTTAATTCTTATCTACGCAGATTGCATCACAAGATACACACCAACAAACCGATTCGTACACCTTCAGAATCAAGGCAAAATTCCGCACCAACTGAATCGAACAAAAACCTTTCTTCAGACAAAAAGTCTAACGTCATAGCGTTTGCTGCAAACTTGCAATGGTTTAAAATGATAACGGGAAGAAATTACAAAGCTAAAAGAAAAAATGATAACACGCAGCGGCACCCAAAGCTCAACAAAATGAAGTGGTTGTAGTGCAGTGGCAAATCTTTCAAAAAATGGTCAAGTCAACCACTACATCAAACTAGAGATGGCAACGGCTCAGCCGAAGCCGTTTGAGCCGCGGCTAAGCCGGCTTCGGCTGAGCCGGCTCGACCAAAAATTGTAGCCGCAGCCGATGCAAGCCGAGCCGATTGAGCCGGCTCAGGGCCTCAGCCAGCCGCGAGCCAGCCGTAAGCCGATGTCGGCTAACGGCTTGCACATTAGGGGGAAAACGTGTAAGAAAGTAAAATTTTCTCTTTTTTGGCCCGTTCAAAGCCGATTTTGAGACTTGAAGACTCAATAGTCTTATAAAAAAGCTCTGAATTTTCGTTTCAGAGATCTCTTTTTCCATTAAAAACTGACGAAAAACAGTTTTTTTCACCAAAAACAGCTGAGTCTTATAAAAAAAGCTCTGAATTTTCGTTTCAGAGATCTCTTTTTCCATTAAAAACTGACGAAAAACAGTTTTTTTCACCAAAAACAGCTGAGTTTTATAAAAAAAGCTCTGAATTTTCGTTTCAGAGATCTCTTTTTCCATTAAAAACTGACGAAAAACAGTTTTTTTCACCAAAAACAGCTAAAAACTTTGCTTTTTAGTGAAAAAATACTTGCGTTTTTCTGCGCTAAAAAACTATCGGCTAAGCCGGCTCGGAGCCGGCTTAGCCGGCTCGCGTTCAAAGCCGAGCCGTTTGAGCCGGCTCAGATAGGTGAGCCGACACTTTAGAGCCGGCTCGCTATTTTAGCCAGCCGCAGCCAGCCGATAAGCCGTTAAGCCAGCCGTTGCCATCTCTACATCAAACAGTAAATAATATGAAACCAATTTCATGACGCTAAATTTCAAAAAGAAATGCTGTATACAAGCATCCAGTTTAGTTTTTTTTGGAATACCTAGAGCCGTTTCCTTTATCGCATACCATTTAATCCGTTAAAATTTTAATGTCGCACCTAGCTCGGTCGCGCAACAGTCCACCTTGACGTGACAGCAACTCGGCGTCGTTCAGCATATTCTTGCGTTTGTAGGCATCCCGAATCAGCGCCTGGATGCTGGCCTGCAGTTCATCGGGTGACGGCTGGCTTTTCACATCGGCGGCCGTGGAAATCACGTCGAGGGTGATGGTTTTTGGTGATCTGAGCGGTGTTGCCGGCACGGTTTCCGCGAAAATCAACGGCTCGTCAATTTCGTGTGAAACGAACTGCCGCATGAAGCTTTCACGAATCTGTAAAGATTACAAAATAAATTTCTATGTAGTTCCGTCTAATACAGATACAAAAGATTAGAGTAATAGCATCTGCCAGAACCCTAAAAACTGCAGTAAAGGGATACGTATGATATTGTGGACCGTGGTACACCGTAGTTCAGTGGCGTAAACACAACCTTCGTATGTTAGCCATGTATCATGCTACTGCTGTAATACGTACTGAAATGCTACTCTAGAATTTAACAGAATGTTTACAAAGTCAACTTTGCATTGTCAAAACTTTTAGATACCTAACTAATAAAATTTGCTTCACTAAAATCAACGTGTCCCACTTCCCATTACCTTTGGAATGGGAAATTCGGAAGGCATTCGAGGCAGTTTAACCAGTTGTGGCCGGTCCGGAAATTTGGTAAAAATGCGCAATCTGTAAGGAAGCTTTTCTTTGGTCCCCACACTTTGTTCGCGCGCTTTCATTTGCTTGATTTTCTTAATTTCTTCTTCCAACTCTAAGTTGTCCAGGATGACGGCGACAAACAGGCTCAACACAATCTACCCGCAGGAATTCGCAACTTATCATTCGTTTACTTTCGTTACGTAACCAGACAATCGACATAATTATAGATTGTACCCAGCCTTACCAAAGTTGCAAAAAGATGATAGAGAATAAAATAAAAGGCCACAATGGGTGAGAATCGGCCGGTTTGCAGCATGGTTTCGTCCATCACGTCAATCCAGCCTTCTTGCGTCAGAATTTGAAACATGGACATAAACGCCTATAGCGACACACAAAACCGGCATGGAGGTGTTTGGCCCAAGTTAGTTAGAAGCGTACTCACATCGGGGAATGTCTCAAAGCGGGAAAAGTTGGGAATATAGCAGAAGAGTTGCATACTGATGCAGGACGTTATCACAAGTAAGCATAGGGTGAACACGATGAGGCTGCCCAATTTCTTCCCAGGTCCGAAAATCTAATCGGCAAACCAAAGTTACAGCATCAGTACGGCGAACGGGCGAAGTAACTATGCAATCAGCACGGCGATAGTGTAGCTATAGTACGATGGCATAGAACGCCGGGTCAAATAAAGAATATACGTTGTCTAAGTCACTCCTCACAGCGGAAAAAATTGAGCAAACTTTGATACAAGTAAAAAATTTTTGACGTTTTTGATTAAAATCCATTCATTTACAATAGCAGCACTGTCAGGAAACCCATTAGGTAACGTGTTATCCGATCTTTTTTATTACTGCAAATACCTTGTGGACGAAGCCTTCCAACATGGGCGACGCCTTAATCAAGCGGACACACCGCAGCACTTGAAAGTACGTCAACGAGGAATGATAAAACAGCGACGGTTCCATATGGATGGTCGTCAGCACCGCCAGGAACAGTTCAAATTTGTGAGCAAACCGCTTCAAATACCCCGATATGCCGAGGCACCACATCTTGAACAGCACCTCCAGATCGAACAACGCCGTGAACATGAGCTCCACCACGTAGAAAATCCGCTCATAATTGGTCCAATCCTGCTCATCATGGGTGTAGTGCACCGACGCACTAGTCACCGCGTTGGCAAACACCAGAAACAGCATCCCCAAGTGGAACCAGTTGGAGCGCAGGATTTTCTGGCAGAATTCCGGCGCGTGACCTTTCGGTTTATTCTCGTCCACCGTCTCCAGGCGCCACTTGCCGGTCTGCTCGTCAATGACGATAATCTGCTGGGAGATGCCGTCGGACAGGGGCGCCCGGTTGCCCCACATCTGCTGGAAGTGGACACGGAATTCGGCGAAGGTCTCCGTGATGACGGCGATGAAGACGTTCTACAAATGAGGAGTGGTTGTTGCGTGTTGATATGCTTGTTTATGTTGCAGATGACAGAGAACTTGAAAAGCTGATGGATGGATACGTCTCAACAACTCACTTTAACCAGCCAGGCCAGAAAAAATATCAGCGTGAAAAAGTAAATAACGGCGCGCCATGTGGGAAGACAGTCCATCGTGCGATACATCACGAACGACCAGCCTTCCATGGAGGCCGACTGGTAGACGGTGAAGAAACTCGTAGCTGTAAAAGTAAATACTTATGATGTCTGTGCTGAAAGAAGTAAACTTGTTAAGTCCTCATTCAGAAAAAATTGAGCAAACTTTGATACAAGTAAAAAATTTTTGACGTTTTTTTTAAAATATTGTTTACAATAGCAGCACTGTCAGGAAACCCATTAGGTAACGTGTCATCCGATCTTTTTATTACTGCAAATACCTTGTGGACGAAGCCTTCCAACATGGGCGACGCCTTAATCAAGCGGACACACCGCAGCACTTGAAAGTACGTCAACGAGGAATGATAAAACAGCGACGGTTCCATATGGATGGTCGTCAGCACCGCCAGGAACAGTTCAAATTTGTGAGCAAACCGCTTCAAATACCCCGATATGCCGAGGCACCACATCTTGAACAGCACCTCCAGATCGAACAACGCCGTGAACATGAGCTCCACCACGTAGAAAATCCGCTCATAATTGGTCCAATCCTGCTCATCATGGGTGTAGTGCACCGACGCACTAGTCACCGCGTTGGCAAACACCAGAAACAGCATCCCCAAGTGGAACCAGTTGGAGCGCAGGATTTTCTGGCAGAATTCCGGCGCGTGACCTTTCGGTTTATTCTCGTCCACCGTCTCCAGGCGCCACTTGCCGGTCTGCTCGTCAATGACGATAATCTGCTGGGAGATGCCGTCGGACAGGGGCGCCCGGTTGCCCCACATCTGCTGGAAGTGGACACGGAATTCGGCGAAGGTCTCCGTGATGACGGCGATGAAGACGTTCTACAAATGAGGAGTGGTTGTTGCGTGTTGATATGCTTGTTTATGTTGCAGATGACAGAGAACTTGAAAAGCTGATGGATGGATACGTCTCAACAACTCACTTTAACCAGCCAGGCCAGAAAAAATATCAGCGTGAAAAAGTAAATAACGGCGCGCCATGTGGGAAGACAGTCCATCGTGCGATACATCACGAACGACCAGCCTTCCATGGAGGCCGACTGGTAGACGGTGAAGAAACTCGTAGCTGTAAAAGTAAATACTTATGATGTCTGTGCTGAAAGAAGTAAACTGCGGTGAGCAACCATTCCAACATATATTGTGTGAACTGTATATATGCCATAAACACCGACAGGATAACAATTATCTGTACGGGAATGCAGAAGTTTACCAAATTCATCAAATCCATTAAATCCGCGCTGTTCTCGCGCCATTTCCAGCTTCACACAATGCATCCCTTGTGGACACACATAGCCATCCGGTCGCGGTGAGCAGTACACGTCCGGAATGGCCAGATCATTAAAGGTCACGTTTCTACAAACATCACAATGTTTATCCAGTACGAACCGCACTTCACAGATGTTAAATATTACGGTTACATTTATAGGCGCTCCTTTTCGCACCCTCTTTATTATAAAACCTTTTGAAATTTATTACCAATTAATGATATTGCCAGCACTAGTGGATTATTCGGTTTGCTCGCTCTTAGTAATTTTATTCAGAAGATTATCGATATCTTCAGTTTTATTCGTCATTGCCTTAGTTTGACACAGTCAGCTTTTCCCGGCCTGTTCGCGCATCGCGTAATATAATTTGAAAATGGACAAACAACAAGTCTATAGGCACTGGTCCATACTCGACCAGTATATTCAAATAATATCATTAACAAAAGAATAACGGGGAGTACCTGTAACCGTTTCCTCAATATTAACAATGCTTCTTTGGACATTTGGACAGACATATACTCAAAACAGTCTCGGATAATGTAACCACGTCGTCACTTACGCAGAATCCGTATCGTTTTTGATACAATGATACTCCAGTGGTCCGAAAAACTGTACTCCAACTAAGCCATAAAGGGACATAAAAAAGAGGAAGAATAATGTGACATTGTAGATCTGTTGACCGGAACGTCTGAAAAAATTAACAGCATGAAAACACGGTTATTTTCAATAGAAAAATCAAATTAATTTACTTAAAAATCTGTTTAATACGGGTTTTTGGAAGGTTGAACTTGAGGAAGACACGTATAAAGCGGATCATGATGAGTGGGCGGGGGGCGCGGAGTATGGACAAGTAGGCGTGTGCGGCGTACACTTCCGGCCACACCAACTGGAACAGCTGTTGGACACGTTGTTTAGCAAAACCGACTTTTTGAACATGTGATAAAATGTGTAGTTGGTTAAATTAAGCACAGGAAGAAGACCAAGTGGTTGCACTTACATGCAGGCCAAGAGAAATGTAATGAAAGAGCAGCATAATGGCATCAAACTGCAATGAAAAATTATGATAAAAAATATTTTCAGAATGAACGTTTAATTGTTAACAGTACCTGGCACCAGCGATCTTTTGCGTACGGTATTTCGCCCTGTAAAACATAAGGTACTGCAGCACAATTAGATTCTTGGTACACAGAATCTAGCAACATTTTTGTTAATGCGATCCTATTGATCCGATTCACGTAAAATAATTTCGGTAATCTTCACGATTCATTCATTCATTCATTCATATATCAAGAGCAGACAACCCGGTTAACGGGACTTCAACGTCTAACGACATCTTTACTCTATATTGCTGATGAGTGTATAGTATACCGATATGCAGATATTCCAAATTAATCATTACCCTCAGTAAGCCACGACCACGAATTTTGGCGATCATTTCCGCTGTGTAGAGTACGGTAATAAAGGTGTCCGTGGCGAATGTTATGTACAATAATTTTGGATGCCGCTCGAATGTTATAGGCGTATTTGCGCACACCGACATCAGACTAAAGAAAATAAAAACATATTTAATTTTGCAAGTCACTTACACGATGCTTCACAAAAATTTGTATAGAGCTCATTTAGCGTAACTTGCCTCGCAGAATACGTACACAATCGTGCAGCAGTACCGTACATTATAGAAAGCGAAGCATAGCGGCCAGTACACTGACTGGTGAGTACAAAAGACTACGCTATCACCACTGCGCCCATATTTTTACATACTTTTTGCCAACATGATTAACTGCAATAACGCACACATACTATTTCCTGAACTCATTATTCACGTTATTTTTTTCTTTTTATTTTATTGTGAGGTGCGCATTTATGCCGTAACCAGAATTTCCTCTCAGTTGTTTCTGTAGCTACGGTACCTTATCAGAGCGAACGCTCGCAAAGCTCTCTGGACGTAAATCTTGTTGACCCAGTCGATTTCCGCCTTCTCCGTCAGCGTTTCGTCGGCATAATCCGCCAGCATCAACGCGTCGGGCATCGGAGCCAGGATGCTCTGCTTGCGGTTCAGCATTCTTCCTGTTTTTCCTCAAGACTTCCAGTAACAAGATCACATTAGCGGAAATCAGCCCGCATGACATTTCCTGATATTATAAGTAGAACGTAATAGCACACACAGAGAAGATATTTTCCCAAGTACCGCACCGTAATGAGAGAATGCCCAGCACGTGTTACTCTATAATTACCCAAAGTTCTTTCTAATTTTACAGAGTATATCCCAACATATTATTCCTCCGACTGATGTCGTGACAAAAGTCGGACTATGCAACACAGCAGCAGCTGCTGTAACACCGCGCCTGCATGCACGGCACCGTCGTTAACTTGAGGATAAGAGGATTTTTTCAAGCAGTTTGTGCAGCTGTAATACGAGCCTTGGATGGCGCTTTGGCTGGGTTTGCTAGTGTATGCGCGTGTGTGTGTATTGGAGAATTAGTAATGTCATGGCGAAACACATGCAGTGCCGTTTATCGATCGATGTTGCTGTTGCTCTTCTAAGTTTTCGATCCACATTTCCCATGCGTTTGTCACTAGCTGGCGTGGGACTGTGTCCACAGAATGGCCCGCTCAAGATTGCTATGCCGGTTAAGTGATGACAGGATGCCACTCAAATGCAGCTTTGTTGGGAAACTATGATGCTGAAACTGCCGTTATAATCAACAATCGGCATCGCTGGAATTGCTCAACATCTAGCAAATCTCTTTCTAGTCTTTAGTTTGCCCCGTGATTTAAGCAGCAACAGCAACAAATAACAATATAATATTTTTTTCAAACCCGACCCAGTATGTCTATATCAAACTTTGTGCATTTATTCGTTCATCATTTACTTTTGTGAAAACAACTTTGTAGTACAACAGCAAATGATCGTCATAACAAAAATGATTCAAGTCTCCCGATAATCTCTACTGGCAGGTAGATTCTCTAAACCTGATGAACAGATATGTTAACCTAACAGACTAATCAGTACAAACCAACGCACAACTTCACCGTAAAATGTTTAAAAAAATCCTCAAAAATCATTACCTATATGAAAACGTTTAACAACACTGGAGGCTGCCACGCAAGAAACACAATAAACATCTGCACGTTAAAAATTCAAAAACCTTACTAGAAGCAGTCAGAAAAGAAGCAATCTAATTAACGAGGTCACTCCCGTCAGCAGCTCACGAAACGTGAAAACCAGGGCAAAAACTCGCAATAACAGTTAGGCCACGAAGTAAACAAGCCGTTTCCTATTCCAATTTCCAAGATTATATTATGCATTAAATCGTAGAATGGATGTGGCACGCACGACTAGGAGGTAGATGTAATCCCCGTAAACATCTCATTTTACGGGCTTAACAATTTCGTGAAATTCGCCGGGAAAACACCCTGTGCTCCATTGAACCTTAGCCCATCAACCATCCTTGTCGCTAAAATTGTAAAAACCGCGACAAGACAGCAATTTTTCTCGAGCGCAGCCTTTTGATCTGTCTGTTGCAAACCTGCACGTTGCAGGCCTGCAGTGCAACGCACCCCGCATGTGTGTGGACTGATCCAGCGTTCTTCGACTTTCTAAAAATTCCCGCGAATAAAATAACCTCCTGAAATTATCAGATCACGTCCCATCGCCTGACAAGTTGGATTCTCGTCAGAATTTCTTCTCCCTCCTCTTCCGCAGTAAGTGCACAGCCAAGCATTACGTACACGTATCTAAACTCATGCGCTGCCGTGCGTCACGTGCACGTTGGCGTGACGCCAGCCGCCTGCAAGAGCAGGCAGACATGCCGTGCTTTGTGCTAAATTCTCAACTGACTGCTGCATGTCCTTGTGGCTTGTGCAGTCGTCGGATGTTCGACAGCGTGGCGAAATATTTTTTCTAATGATCCTGGGTTTTCGTGTTTTCTTGAATTCCCATTGTGTAATTGTTAGTTACGTAAACTGTATCTGGAGTTTTGTTTGTTAGGAATGGCGCTTGCCGTATATCGTCGTCGACCGTCGAACGCGCGCTCCCGTTCCAACTCCAACGATGTCGTTATGCAAAAGTCCTCCAAGCCTCGCACGATGTACGACTGCGTTATTGTGGACGACCGGGACAGTGAAACGAGACCGAGCCCGCGATCCGGCCACCGCATTGTGGCTAACGACGGCTACATGTACTGCTTTGGGGGATATAATCCGGCCAATCCTCACCGTTTTGGCTTGTTCCCTGAACTGTGGCGTCTGTGCCTAGCCACCAACAAGTGGGAACACATGCCCAACGAAAACTGCCCCGAAGAGACGGCATCTCACTCAATGATCTTGTTAGGGTAAGTAAATGCATTCTTCTTAATTTTAATCGATAATCGAATTTATATAATCAATTAGCGAACAAAACCTTGAAAGTCTATTAGTGTTGTCGCATTACCAAATCATTTAAAAACCTGATGCAACGCGAATAAACACTGCGCTCTCACTAGATTCCCTGTCACGCTTCCCTGATTTTCAGTTAGTAAATTTCGCTTTTTCATAACTTCGCAAATGTCTGTGTTTGTTTGGATGATCTTGTATCTTGATACGGCATAATCTGTTCCTGATAATCAATTAGCAAAAACGAAAGCATAGGTGATTCTTTTCTCACTGCATGCAGCGGCATGCACGGATCGGTGACAAAGAACTAGGTTGCTAGTCTACTGTGCACACCGCTGTAAGTTGCTTTTCTGAATGCACATAACGATTGCGAAGCCATATGATTGGGGTATTTTTGGCTCGTTTTCGCTTTCTGTTGCACGGTTCAAATGTCTGCAGGCAGTTTGCGCGGTGGTGACTTTCCAAAATTTACCCTGACTTCCTAGTTTTTCGCCTACAGAAATTCTTGACACTTTATTGTTTATACATTTGTTGCTGTGGTTAGACTAATAACTGCCTTGCTGGAAAAAAATTGAAATTATTGTTAATTTCAGGAGCAACTTATTCGTGTGGGGCGGCACTGGATTCCCTTTTGGTGAGCGCTGCAGTAACACCCTCAACTGCTATCATCTCGGCATGCAGAAGTGGCACCAGGTACCTGCAGGCGGTGCCATTCCCAGCGCGCGCTATGGCCAGAGTATGACATTCAAGGATGGACAGCTGTACGTTATCGGCGGCACAACGGGTTACAATTACAGCATGATGGTAAGTGCATTAATACTGAAACTGCCGCTCGTACAGTTTATTTATGTAATAATTTCGTGATAGGTTCACGCTATGAATCTGGAGACGCTGGTGTGGGAAGACCCTCAAGCTAATCGTGGAACCTATCCTGAGTGGGATCATTACACCCCCGAACCACGCTATCGCCATGAAATCGCTACCAGCGGCAACCTGATTTACGTCCTGGGCGGTGGTACGGCCCAGACGGTATTCAACTTCGAAGAAATCCCCGCATTTAACGTCCAGACCAACCGGTGGACAGTCCTGACCAGCCGCCCCTGCCCCGTTACCGGCACCTATCCACCGCCTCGCAAATTTCACGCCGCTGTTCAGCACAAAGACTTTGTCTATTTGTGCGGCGGCTTCTCAGGACAGTTTGCCATGTTCGACGACATTTGGCGTTTAAGTCTCGCTGATCTCCAGTGGCAGAAATTGACGCAGCGACTACCTCGACCGATCTATTTTCACAGCGCGGCAGTGACACCGGAAGGGTGCATGTTTGTGTTTGGAGGTGTCATTTCGGAGAAGGGAGACTGTCGGTCTAACGAGACATTCAAAATCTGGCTGAATGTTCCTACCCTGCAAGAGCTGGTCTGGGATTCGATTACCACGAAGTACCACAAAGTGCTGGCCAAGCACGATCAAGATGATCGCGACCAGTTGACACGTCTGGGACTTCGGTTGCCACCAAAGTTTTTTGGGCGTTTGAACGCCAAAAACAGTGGCATTTACAAATGAAGCCGCTGTTAAATTCGTATTTCTTTAGAGGAAATGAGATGTATCTTGTTAGTTGAAAATACGTGATAGAGAGTTCTAGTTCATACTTATTTCTTTGATATTACTTGGCTGTGCTAAGTATAATTAATTAGATTTGAAATTTGATCCGCACTCTGTTAAATGTACATAGTTTTCCCTGCACAAATTGTAATGAATTCACCTGAAGGCTGTCTGCACTTCACTAATCTGACCATAAATGAATACGGCCCCTGTGATGTTGATAACTGACTGATTTCAAAACAATTTCGCTTGGTATGCCGTTACTTCTGTGGTGATCTCGTGAGGGCAAATTGTCAGTCAACAAACAACTCAACTTGCAATAAATTAACTGTAAAGGTTTAATCCGTCTGCAATTAACATCCATTGTTATTCCAAGAACCTTCTGACTGCCGCTGTGCAGTGTGGACGTACCTGTTCTTCTGGGTTGTCGAATGGTATTACGGAAATTATATCTCCAGCCTCGAACGATAGCTCATCGTGATCTTCGGCAGTGTAAGGATTCGTTGCTTTCACCTGCAAAATAAACAAATTAATATATTATCACATAAAACCGATTACAAAGACGCAAGTCGATGTTTGCTAAAGCGTAAATCACAGTTATAACATTTGCTTGCAGCTCTGCCTGGAGCCACGGATAGTCAGATAGCCATCCATCACGAAGACACGTACTAAGCGTGCTGCCTACTGCATGATCAAGCAGGCAAACCGAACACTGAAACAAATTTTATTATTCTCTCCATTAGTTCTGCGCGTTGGAAAAGGGTAAATTCAGGGAACAGTTTGGATCAGTGGAGGTCAAATTACATAAAATCCGCGCCAGCAAATGTGGTTAAACAAAGCGTATCAAATTTTTCAAACACAGCAATCTAATGGGCGGGGAGGACGTTCGAGTTAATTAAACAGCAATCTCTGTACTCGTACCGGTATTCACCATGCGATTTGCCGGTAAATCTGACATCCCATCATTTGCCAGAGAAAAGTGACAAACACTTCGACACTGACCTTATAGAGCACCTTATAACTGGATATCTTGCCTCCGGTCTTCGTTACATCGGCGGGACCATCCGCTGTCGGTGTTGCATACTCGCCGCTTAACTGAGATTTTGGGCTTGATGGATGAGCATCGCGCACTACTGTGGTTGATTCAGTCGAAGCCTTCTGGTCATGGGTGTGTGCTCCCGAATCTTCTTCACTTTCACTGGGGGTGGTCGAATCTCGCCGGTTGCGCACTATTCGTGTTTCCACGATGGGGTCCAGTTTGGCGGGAAGCTCGGGATACATGGAAACAACGCGCCCTGATGCGTTGCGTTCGACCGTGGCTACCGGAGTAAATGCCGAATTCGTGGAAGGCTGTAGGTTTCGCTTGGATTCGCTTTCCGGCTCCGAGTCCACAGAGACGGTGCGCACAACGGTTGCTGGTGAGGTAAATTCTCATATCAGAAATTATCTCATATGATCTTCGAAGTATGAAAGAAATTTCTGTATAAATTTCAATTATTTTGATTCATAATTCTCACGGGAACTATTAGAAACTACTGTTTTAAACTTATATCAAATTTCTGTATTACATGTTTCTTCATCGTCTAAATTCCAAGCAAACATATTTGCAAAATAACTAACACGATTCTAAAACTATACTATTGCACTATGCGCTTCGTTGTCGGTCAGTTTCATCGCGCACTCACTTGTTTGCTGGGTTTCCGGAACGGTTACTGTTGGTCGCGGGGTCGCAAGATCCCCCTGACCCCTATGACCGTTCTCCTTTCGGATCAGGTCAGCTTCTTGTTCGGTAAGCGGTGACGAAATGCGTTCAGGGCTGGTGATCGGTGCACTTCTATTTACAGAAATCCCATGTGGGTTACGATGCTAAACTATAAATACCACGGCACGCAGACAGCACAGCACAAGACATTACATCACGGGTTTTTTGCCACCAAAACCATACTTGTACGGCACTTTTCCCTGATCGGCAAATTTATTGGCGAATTCTGCCAGTGTTTGTGACACCTGTAATTAGAAATTCATACCGGTGAGCACGAAGCATAATTCAACAAGCGTTAAAACTAGCACAATCTCGGTGTTGTGGAGGCGTAAACTAGTTCATCTTTTGTAAAAATCCACCAAAAATGTCATTCAGTGCAAGATACGAAGTATCGACATGAAACTTACACCAAAAAATAAAACTTACTTTGGCCACTTCTGCATGATATACGTATTCAGCATCAAACATCGCCTTTAATGTGTATCCATAAAAGCCTATGCGACTTTCGTGTACAGCTGGAAGTTCTCGATGTAGTTCGTCGTTCATTGCTTCGTATACCCGCTGCATGGCGACCAGTTCGTCCTGTGCCTATAAAGAAATCATCGAAATATTCAAAACTGAAAACTGCACAAAGAAAACATGAAAGCAGATTTTAGACGAAATATGTTTCTTCAAGAACAATTCAAACCGTCGACGTTTAATATAAAATAATAAGTAAATGCATCAGCTGATGAGCAGAGCAAACTGACGATACTCTATTAGTTTTGAAGTATCCACGCTACCTTTGCGGCTTTCATATCGTTGCGTTTAGGTGCATTCAATTGTGCTGATAAATTGTAGCGAGCTGCATCGTAATCCACGAGCTTCCGATTCCGCTTGGCGATTTTATTCTGCAAAACCCAACAACAGTGAAACTACGGGACAACAACAGATAAAATGGTTTTAGTAATAAAATAATTTCGAAAATAGATGCTTCAAACCATAAAGGCTTCACATGTACGCTAGCATATAGTTGAAACAATCAAAACACAAAAAACTGACAACAAGACTAAGTTAAAAAACGAGAGTAAAAAAGAAGCTGAAATAAACAAAAATTGAATATAGTTTAAAATAACAGTTGAAGTTCTGAGTCCGATAGGAATCGATATAGACAATTTGAGACAAGATAACAGTCAGGGGATAAGCATTTCGGCTCTTCCGCCACCAACCTTAATTTCCGGAAACTGGTTTAAATAATTAGTAACGTTGTTCTGTAGATCGTCGTTGAGTTTCCTCAAATGCTCGGCTCGGGCTTGTTGTAATTGTTCGACCGCCGACGATAGCTGCAGCTGTCCCGACCACTCCGGTTGACAAATCTCATTCAACGCGTCCAGAAGTCCTTTACTGGCGGTATCCATCGCTGTGTTAACAAACAAACATCGTTGTGTTAAACGGATACGCATCTCTTATTTTACACAGCAATGTTTGTTGTACTTTTAAGTGCCGTCACATAATTCCGCACTTCCTTCTGGATCCGCAGACTATTATTTTGCAGTTTGCTAATATTGGCCACATATTCATCGAAGAGTTCATCTTGAGTTTTGTCAGCTTTTCCCAGTCGCTCTAAAACCTGTAACAAGAAGCGCACTAAACACCAGTACTTGAGTGTGCGTAATATTTTACAACAATATTTGTTGCATTACATCTTTTCCAGAGTAATCATGTGGAATACGACCACAACACAGAGTAAACCCAAGGGGGATAATTAAAAACTACATCTTTTGATGCGCGTCAGCGACAAAAATTGAGTTATGCAAATCGCCACTCTGACGAATGTTATACATATGCTCACAGAAAATTTAACCAGAGTATACACCATTCTTTTTCGAAAACTAAAAAGTAAAGCTGGCAAAGGTATCTTCATCATGTTAGGTCTCATGCAACGGTAAATTTCGCAAGAAAATGAAATTAAAACAAACCATGTACAACTTAAAAACAAACTATGAACAATTAATGTGTAGTTTCTGTCTACGAGTACGTATCTATGGGGTGACATCGAAGTCAAAGAATTTTAATGTGTTGTTTACTAAAAGCAAGGTCCAGCTCCCCGATATTGGAATGTACCCGAGATTTGTTATCGTTTTATGGCTTCATTATTGTAATGACAACGGTAGCAAGTATTAAACAACATTTACGGCATCGATTAAAAATTTAAGACATCTCCTGCTGTCATCCAGACAAGTTTTTAGCAGCACCGGAAATGATGCACCAACTGCTACATACATTGTCATACATACACTGTATGTATGGGACTATGGGTAAAACCTTGCCTCTTCATGCTTCTACTGTTCTACATATCTATCTACAGTACAATTTTAAAGTTTGCGCCGTTTTGTACCGCCTTTCGGCAGTCAAATGGAAAATGTAAGTACTATAGCTCAATGTTTTCTGCCACAGTCTCACAGTTGAGAACATCTTGCTGACAGCATGGAAATTTAATCGATTGATCCACCACAAATAATGCGACAATAAAGGAATCAGTTGGCGCTCCAAAATGTTAACAATGCCGCTGAGCTGGAAGGTTTCAATTAGACGACAATCTTTGGAAACACCAGTGAGCCAGATAGGAAAGTGCTTATGTTGACAGTGCTTATGTTTATATCTAAAGGGCAACTGCGCGGCTAAGATTACACAACAGCTCTGACAGCTGACATTTTGTGAGCGCAAAGAGCGGATCTCACAGGAAAAGTGGTACACAGTTCACACACATCTACGAGAGCGGAACAGATAAATTGTGCAATCAGACTCAGAATGTACAGTAGTCGCAAAAAGTGTGCCGCAAATATCTATTTCGATTACGATATCCCAAAAGCGTAACGATCGCTTGCGATTTTAATCCGATCCAATAAGTACTCTCGCCAGGATCTCATCCGATTTATTCTGAAGTTTCAGACATGGAGGTACTGTATTCGCTCGCACATCTTGGACCACAGAGTGTGTGTACGGGAAAAACGCGCATTCAATATACACACTCTAACCGGGCCAAACGCGCGATTCGCGATTTGATAAATTTCTGATGTCTTACAACATCTGGACTGGAGAACTTCTTGAATAATGAAAAAAATTAGAGCTCTAACAATTTTTATCATGTTTAGGCTCGAAAGCAGCCATTAACATACAGCTTTGGCGTAAGCACGAGTTACAAACGGATTTTGTTGTGGTTATTGGGGTGCCCCTGGAGGGGGGGAGGGGTACGTTCCGCGTCAACATTCTTGATGGCGATGAACCACCGAACAATGCGAGCTTTCAGCTACAGAACCTTTTTTTTCCAGAGTGAATTGCCATTTAAATGAAAAGACTTGATTTAATAAACAAAAATTCACAAGAAGAACTGTTCATCTTGAAACCAAATGAGGAATATTTCGTAGTCGTGCATTTTGCCCGGTTAGAGTGTGTATATTGAATGCGTGTTTTTCCCGTACACGGACTCTGTGGTTCAAGATGTGCGAGCGGATACAGTAATTTTTTAATCTATCTCATGCTACACATTTTCAACACACCTAGTTTAAGCACTATTTAACGTTGAAATTCATAAATGAAATTTTAAGTTTGACCAGTTTCCAAATTTGAAATCCCAAAATGCAGCATTCAGCAAATTAGAAAACAAATTTGCAGGATCTCGGGATGTGCATTCAAAAGCAGAATCATAAATCGTGCAAAAAACATATCTCTCCAGTTAAAGTGTTTTTCTGTCACGGTCATGGATGTTCACGGCTGATCTATGCAGTGCAAAAGAAAGGCAAACAATTCTGGATCCATTCATCACCTCCGACATGCGCCATAGAAAATCTGTCAGCCGCAATTCAACACCCATAAATAAATCACTTTTAAATTCGGTAACAGGCAGATGTAGTTTTCTATTTTGATCCCTCTTGATTTGTGGCACGGTTGTTTCATGCCGATCAGGTGGTTGTGGTGCAGCACACCATAACTTTCAAACTCAATTAGCGTAGCAAATTGCGACATGGTTTTCGTGAATTGCAAGAGCATACAAAATGAGAACTTGCGACGCTCTCTTAAAACTTCCATACACTGCAACCACTTTATATTTATATTAAATTAATACAAACTATACTTCTGCTGCGATTCGGAACTGCAGCGTGTAGTATATATATATGTAGCTTCGACACCCGGAAGACATGATTAATACTCGTACTAAGTTACTAACCGTAATCTACGCAGCTCAGAAATAAAATAATTTTCGTGTTCTTCTGAAAAAGGTTTTAATTTTTTACACTTGCAGCTTGAGTCTGTATTCTGTAATCACAAATTTAATGATTTTTTTATCAGTATTTCACTATTCACGCAGTAATACGAGTATATGGTAACCAAAATAAATTAACGGACAAAACTAGATAGGTGTAAGCCGAAGCCGTAAATCAGAAAGCTGTGACCAAATTCCATTTATTTTTTAGGTGACTGGAACTTCATAATTGGCTTATCGGACTGACTCATTTTCAGAAAAAGGGAGTGGAATTCAGAATTTAGCCAGAGATCGACATTTACTTTTCAGCCCAGTTCAAGCACACAAAATTTATAATCTTCAGGCTCACTCTAAGGCTGAGAGGTATCCCTTATTCCAGAAGAGACTTGATGGAAAAGCAAAATTAACAGCAAATCAATCAATGAAGTAGCCCAATGCAGTCTTTACTAATTTACGATTAAACTGTATAAACAGCTGCACTTTCACTAGCTCACTGCTCAAGTAATTCTTCTACGCAAACGAACCAGTCATTTATCTGATATTTCATTTTAAAACTTCCACCATCAGATAGCCTGTTTTTAATTCACAAAAGGCAACTAACAGATTTCAAAATCCACGTGGCTATCGCAGTGCCATAGTTTACAATTCCTTTACGAAGACGCGAATCACTTACTCGTTCTTTGGCTCGCAGACTCTGCTTCCGCATGGTCTTGACGAGGAAATCGCCAGCACCTCTCGAAGATTTGGGCTCCATTCTTAAGAAAAACACAATGATCCACTAAGCAAAACAATTATTACGGTCGTCAACCCGCGATAACGAAGCAAATCAACTCAGGTTTATCACCGATTAAAAGCGTTTTAAAAAGATGTTTCCGATATCCAAATTTCAAAATCGACAACACCAATGCACGATAGCGCACAGATTAACAACATTGCCAAATTTTATGGTGACCTGACGCGACCAGGCTACCGTGACGTCTGACTAATCATGCTGAGCAGATGGGCTCAGACTTGTGTCGGCTGCCGAACGAGTCAGGCGACCGCCTACTCGACTCTGCCATTCGTACTTTGTACCGACCGGAAATGAATCATCTCGACATCAGAATGGGAGTTTTGGGATCACATTACCGCGCATGCAGAAGTTCGCCATTGATCATGAGGATGCTCTAAACCAGCTTCTCTTCAGTGGGCTGTCAACTTCCCATAATGAAATCCACGGTACGGTCGTAGTACGGACGCAGTTCATGGCTAACGGGCAACAAACATTCAAACCTCGCTGGAAGTCCATTCCCCTTTATTGCAAGTGCAATGTCACACTTACAGGTACGGGACAATAGATTTTCTGTCGATCGGCTTTGGTGTGTTTTATAAAGCCTGTTCATACAATTTTAATAATTTTTGTTATTCGATTTAAAGGGATTTTATTTTGCTGATTTCAAATAATTTGCAGTTCAGTTTATATAGCCGATCCTTCAAGTTAATAATAAGTAACATTAACCTTGATTTATCAAGAGAATAAAGCATAAAGAGAATACCCATAAAGAATGGTGTGCATGCATAAAGCCATCTGTACATAATAATTCAGTTTCAATTGTTTTAGAATAGCAGATATGTACTCGTATTGATATCTGGTGAATTTTGAACAGATCGGTTCATATACATATTTCGCAAATTCAGTTTAAACTCACTACTGTCAAATGTGAATCGCAAATGCCAAAAACGTCGTTTTGTTGCTTTCAAGCTTTGCAGATCACATTACGAGAGATTCACCAAAAACTGCACACCGAAAACAGTAGCTACCAAAAAACATCACCTCAAAAACTAAAATTCTATGCACAATGCTAAATAAAACCTTCTAAAACTAGAGTATCTTTATACTTCAAAAACCGGTCGATTAAAAGTAAAAACAACAGTATATCAAATCCATAATCTCCATGCGGCGCTAAGTCCAAAACTTCAAACACGGCAAAAAAACTAACGGAATTAAACTCAAAGGGACAAAATTGTGTCACACGTTTCATCCGACACAAAATGCTCTTATCACAGCCAATTGAGAACAGACAGGAAAGGAACGGTATTCACCGGCGCACTACGACGGGGCTGAATAGCATCACCAACCATCGGCGAAGCAGTGCGATCCTGTGACGAGAATGTGTGTAAGATAAATTGAGATCATCATCATCGAAGTCATGGTTGCTATCATCACCGGAAGGGACACCATGTTGGCGGCTGCGTTGCATTCCAAATAGTCCCAACTTTCGCGTTCCTTCTGATCTCGCTTTAAAGGCATGTCCGGTAAGCATGTGAAATTATCCCGATCCTAATAAACATCATATTGTGAAAACTCACAGACCATTAGAAACTTTGTAAAAAAACGGTACCGCCTTTTAGCACAAAAAAAAGGTCAAAAGTAACTAACAACATAATTTAAGTTATCAAGTAAAAGAAACGCCTACATAGGAATTTAAACATCACCAGTATTATTCCTGCTGCCACAAAATATTTACAATTTAATTAAACCTAACAAAACTTCAAAAAGTAAAATAAATATTTCCAAAAAATACTGAATTACTGCGAAAAGTGCATGCAATGGGGCTTTTTGGGAGCTAACGGCGGTCTGAGACAACCAAAAACTTTTTTTGAAAATCATCTAACCCAAATTGCATTCCTTACCGGGCAAAGCAGTCCACAAGCCGGACAAATAACTGTACCAGTGTGCAGCCACTCGTTGCCAAGAATTTGTAGCTGTAAACGCTGGCCTTCGGAGTAGCAGATTATCGTCCGATTAGCGACAATTACATGCAGGCGACCATTTTGACAAGCGTGCTGCAAAAAAATGTAGCAAAGCGTCAATCACAACAGCAAGCGTTTTGAAATATGGGACGTGACGCCGACAGTCAACCATGCGTACTGCGTACTTCATAACAACCGGACCCCCAATGTTGCCACGTCCGCGTTAGCACGCATGTTCGTTCTGACCACGGCTTGTCTTGGGCGAAACACACGCTGTCTTTCCCATACTTTTCCAGGGCAAAATTCATCGAAGGCTCTAAAACGCCAAACAGATACTGTGAGTAATTAAACACTACACAATTCTGTGTAAACCAGATATTCAGCACATCACCGGCAAAATCAACGACATTAAATATACGTCGATAAAATGAACTTTAGCAGTGACGCTTCCGTTTTGCTTACCAGGTTGATTCTCTTCTACGGTGCATCGTGCTCCTCTCACAGTGCCAGCTGTACTTTTCCAACTGAATTCCTAAAAAAATCAATCATTTCACGATTAGGAATATTCACTAATGCTTATAACCACAATTTCCTCTGGAGAGGGCTCCACAAACCTGCATGAAGGGACAATAATCGGCCAGATCAACAGAGCCACCGTAATGGCCAACCATGTCATCCGGAACACCGGATATCGAATCGAAATTCTGATACTCCGGAGGTAGATCCGTTGAATAACCGGCCAAATTACAGATGGATAATGCATTTCGTTGTGTACTACACTCCGTTTTCACCATATTATTTGAGGATGTCTTCAGTCTGTTACAATATGGCGCCACGGATGTCCTATTAGAAAAACAAGAATAATACAATTTTTCAATATTTAGTCACCGAATACTTCGTACGTTACTGAGTCACTATCGCCCTAACCAACAAAATTAATTCAACACGTCTCACTTTTTTTGAAGCGCTTGGTCCATCCACGATTTACAGCTCTTCATAGCAAACCCACAACCCTGACCAGCACCGAACGTCACTTCTCTCGCTAGGGAGTAATTTGGCTGATACCATCCTGAATCTTCCAGTGCAGCGAAGGTGATATTAGAATACACTGGATTCTGCGTGTGAACGCCGGTCATGGCCTCATTTTCGAACACCCTTTTCTCCCAATGGGTCAACAACGTGCCTTCACCGCCTTGATTCTCCAATTCCGCCCCCTCCAGATCGTTACAACCAAAATGCCTACGCGCTTCCTCGGTCACACGAGGCGTTACCAACAGATCCATAGGACGTGTAATTTCTCCCCCTCGTACCTGCCAATTAGGCCGTTCGATATGTCGAATAGTGGAATCCGACCACTGATAAGTGTTCAGTCTGCAATCAATAATAATGCTAACGATATTACGTAAGCACAACCAATTTGAACCTGAACATCTTACAATTATTAAAAATTGAATTTACTTTAAAAATATCTCATGCCGTCAATGCGGTGACATTTACGCAAATAATCATAGCTCAAACGTCAAAACTGAAGAGGGCGGCACCGGCACGCGCCACATGGTAGCACAATTCTTCATCAACATTTAATGTTACCCAACTTGTACTGTTCAAATTTACGCAGTATAAAGCAGATAAACTATGCTCGACCACCTTAGTCTGATATAAGTTGTACCCACTCTGAATTCCACTGTGGTCGCCCGTACTTGTCCCTGGGGGTTCGCGGAGACCCATTTTCGTCGCGGTAGAAAGCGAACAGGGCCACGGAGAAACCAAGCGCATGGAGAATCTCATGTTTAACAGTGGAGAGGATCGTTTCAATGTCCGATGGATTATCGCTGATTGCATGGGGGCACAAATTGGCATGACCAGCGATAGGACTGCAAACCAAAAAATAATTCGGTTAACAACTTAACAGCAAGTGTACAGCATACGGCAAACAGTTAGTGGTTAGCATATATAGCATTTAAATGGAGAGACTCTGCAAACGACAAAAATAAAAAAAAAACAGATAAATCAATTGCTTGAAGTTAATAATGGCGATGCTGTTGCGTTAAATTAATATCATATCCTAATTATCTTTAGTTAAAACCTACAGAAAAATACAGAACCTACAGCACCTACACCTACAGAAATCACTTAGAACGACGAGAAAGAAAATATCTATCAAGAAACATTTGACCGAAACGCTCTCGAAACTTACCGGTCGTACGTCATTTCCTGTTGACAATGGGCGGCATAGGCGACCGTCTTGGAAACATTGCATCTTTCCGTTTCAAGAGTCGACACATAGAGAACAAAATCTGCACTGGCGACGCCTGGCCCATCTGGTGGTCCAACAGCTTGCTTCGTTGTGACGGAAACGGGAAACAGGTCCGAAAAAATTGTCGAAGGACTGGATGCCAAGTACAAGCATTGCTAAATATAAAGACAAAATGAGATTTAGTCAGTCTTTTGCCATACGCCCTAGGTAATTTCTATAGAAAACTGGAAAAAATCGGTTAATATGACAGACATATTTACATTTTCCAAGCGCAAAATGAACAACAACATTGTTCAGCCCAATTTCAACAAACGCTCATGCAGAAAATTGGCTCAATCAACCCAATCAATAATCAATGTTACCAGTAAATGCTTATCAGGCACAGGTACATCGCCACAGAATGTTTTCGGGTCACATCCTTGGTCGCAGTAAAAGACGTTTGTGTTCGATGGATCGGGATAATGCACTCGGTATTCCCCAGCAGAGTTGGTTAAACATTTCCTGTAGAAAAGCCAATAACTGTGACTGTGCAGAATGAAACTACTTGCAAAATAAGTGAACCTGAGGGGCCAGATATGACAAATACGATAAAACACCAGATACTACTACTGACAAAGCACATTTAAATTAGGTTTTATTTCATTGCCAAAAGACTGATGTAACTCTAAGCTACACCGTCGGCGAAATCTACTTCTTCGTAAACTAATCCGTCAGTTTTCAAAGAAACCTGACATCGCCTAATACACTCCAATACGACAGACAAACGAAAAAAACTGTCACGCGCAGATGACAATGTACTCGTAGAATATTTCGGATAAACGTATCTGGCCGTAAAACGTTCAAACAGCTTACCAATATTTCATACCTATCACAAAATCGTAGAAACAATTTTTTAGAATATCGACGTTAACGACAGATACTTCGCGCAAGGCACAGTATAAGCACAGATACATATGACGTAATTGACATTAATTGTTTTTAGAAACTACAAAATCGAATAGAGATAAATAAAACACAACCTATTTCTCGCAAAACGCATTGATGAGCAGACAAAAATTTTATTAATTTTTCACTTGTTGTTCTGTATATTATCTCAGTAGTCTGTGATTAAGCGTCTCGTCTCGCTCCATAATGTGCTTCATTCGCTGCATTCAAAACGTAATAACTGTTTTTCATCTATTTCTAAAGGGAAATTCGTCACGGAGCATGCACACGACTCTCTATGAGGGTAATCTTCGTCTCCGATAATTGCCAACAGGAACCAACCTCAAGCCGATCATTTAGTGCAGCTATCAATTAAGGTGAATTACCGTGAGAGCAGTACACGTAACAGGAAACATAAAAAAAACAGGTTACAAGCAAAAGCTAACGAAAGGTACTGTACCTGTGTAGTCGAATGGGGGTGGTACTGCGCACAACTTTCAGAGCTTCACTCCAAAATTTTACAGCTTGCGGTAGTATGACTTCCTGTACAATACAAAGATAATTACAGTGTGCAACATTTCAAGAGTACATGCCAGACAATTGCAGAATACCAAACAGCGATAAAAAAGTGAAAAAATATTATATTATACAACGAACAATAAATGAATAAATTACGTACAAAACATCGAGCGTGTGCGAAGTACAGATACACCCACCTTTATTAGTCGCTGTTGTCTGTTAGATAAGCTGCAAAAAGTGACAAAATATAGATACAGTATGCCTGTATGTGCACGAGATAAATTTATCCTCTTATCATTAATACCAACCTTGTAAAAAAAATTTAGTCAAGTAAAAAATAATAATAAAACATTTAGTCAGTCTCCCGTAAATAATGCAGAACAGTAATTCAGCGTATAATCCAAATCTTTTCATTTTAATGCAAAATTTTAAAAACAAAAAAATTATGAATCTCAGATCCAAAATATTTTTTACAGTTAATCCATCGGGCACCCTAAGATACTATACACTCGAAATTCAAAAGCGAAGAAATCCCGAACAAGACACCACCGTATTAAAAATTTTTCTAAGCGCAGAGCAACCCGCTCAGTAGTCCAAGACTCCAAAATCAATCTCACAACTGTCGTCGACTATTTATTCGGAGTGCGAGACTGAGCACTGTCAAAAAAGAGTAACATTTTTGAGAGATTTACGCATAAAATTTCCCACTTACGCATTCAAACTTTTGTCGTCATAATGCAGCGACACCCGTAACTGTCCCCATTCCGGTGTGCTGCGTTTGCTGACATTGTGACTGGATTCCAGAGAAACTGGCGGAAGAACCTGCAGAAAACGAACGGCGCCTATCAAAACTCCCCACCGCTCTTCTGATTTCAAAAGGGAAAGGAAACAAGGGCTGCTACCTGATCGCGTTTTGGGGGTTTGTAACTACATGATGCGGAAGATAATGGAAGCAGTAGGCTAGTCAGTCCGGAAAGTGTCAGCGCGCACTGTACGAGCAGATGTTGCATTGAAAAAGTCAAGAATAACACAGAGCTCGAGCCGTGGCAACATCGGAAATCAGCGTCAATGACAACAGCTAAGAAGTGCTGAATAAACAGAAACCCAGACGTATAAATACTGGAAATCAGAAAGCCGGAACTTTCGTGCGCAGGTTACAAAGCCACAAACCCGAAACGCAAAAAACGAATTGTTTCAAAGCGCGCTACCTATTAAACAATATACTCGTACAGTTAGCGCACAGGTGAGCACTGAAGTCCATCACTGTTTACACTGTACTGGTGAGCTGTATGTACACATGGTCGTACTCTAGTGGAGTACTGTACTGTACTTACGTTTTAAATCCATTCAGAATATGACTGGCTGACTGCCGCTCAGCACGCCTGCGGGCGGGCTTGATCTACAGAGTACAAACGCTGTTTTAAACTGTATAGCACATTTCCGGTGTTCGTTGCTAACCCCGAAAACAAACTCAAACAAATTGAAATACTACGCAATTTTTATAAAGAGAATAAAAGAAATTCTAGAACTAAATTCTCATTTTTTTTAAATTGAGGCGGTAGATCAGGGAAGTAATTTACCATATTAACTGCATGCTGGAAATAACCGATCCATATGCATGTGTCCACGCCGACTCCACGGTCCAGTCCACCAAATGTCAAAGTACGCAAAAATTTTATGAATATTTCAAGTACTAGAAGTCAATAACGTCCACGAAAGTTGCGGTTTCTCAATTTTTTTTAGAATGCAAAAGAGCAGTTTGCTTGGGTTATTTGGTAAGATATCGGATATCTCTTTGACGCATCCAGAATGGCCATTTGCCCAGTTTGCGCGCCATTCGATCGGCACAAAATTTTTGAACGTTTCTCCAGGTTCTATTCGACTTTCTGGCCGTATCTTTTAGCTTAATTAATAATTCGCTTATTTTGAATCCTCCACACCTACCCCAGTATCGGACGTCGGAATGACTCTTTGCAATCAGTGGTCAACACACCATCACCGGTGCCAACGATGTTGTTTAGTTTTTCTTTCCACGTGGTTATATTATTGCATTCCAGCCCTTTTTAAATATTTTTTGTTCTCTATTGAGTGTGTTCTCAAAGCAAACTTACTTTAATGGCCTACGATAGTAATTCTTTAGTCGTCTGTTCTACCCTCCATTGGCTTTTGTAGTAGTTTAGTAGCATTGTATGTAGCTTGACGGTATAATCCAAATTTTTTGCATAGCACGTTTGATGACCTTTACAGGAGCCCTCGTGTTTTGATTTTCGGTTTGGTAACTCGGTACGATGCATTTACAATTTAACCACAATCTATATAGTAACGCTTATTGCATCTACATAAATTCAAGTGGTTCCAGGCTTTACAACAATCAGGTGGCTATTGGTGACATTTGACTACTGGGTAACGCAAATGATTAGGCAGAAGGTAAAAAGAACTACTGTAAACCAAAGCTGATGGCAGGCTGGCAGCTACCGAGATTTAATTACAGACACGATCACAGAATTCAAATGCCACTAGTAAGTGAACTACATAATTATGGGTAAAAATACTTGTTCATAACACTTATACATAGCTAGTTTATTGGTTAACCGACGTAAAGGCATTGTGACCCACAAGGTCGCTTGAAGATGGTGAAGACTAACGAAAACAGCAAGACCAGTATATATAGCAGATGCAGATCGTGGTAGCACTGTATTTATTGTTACTTTGATTGCTGGCTGATCCATACTTTGTCACATAGAATTTTATGTAGCTTTGTCACATAGATTTTTATTCTTGTACAGCGTATTTGTACAGAAATGCAAGTTATAAAATAAAGAAATAACACAAAATTAAGAGCATGAACCATTCATAAAATTGCAGCTGGCCAATCAAATCCACGCAGTTCGGAGCACCTTATTAATGATAAGCATACTTTGTCCGCCATGGGAAACACTAACCATATAATATGCATCGTTCTGTACTTACAATAACCTCCTATAGCATAAACCTATAACAGCAATTTCAAAAACTGGCATCGTAATTGCGTGCATATATACCGGAATAAGGGCCAAATCGCGGCTTGGAATTTCGGTAATAGCGCAAAGGCGAAACAATCCCCAACCCCGGTGACCTTTTGTCGCCAAATCCGCGCTTGTCGCCGAAACCGCGTTTGTCCACGAAACCTTTCTTTGTCGTTCGATGCTGATCCCACGGATTGTACTGCAAACCATCGGATGGTCCGGAGTTATCGTCAACGTACATATCCGGGCGAAGGGTTACCATTGGCATATCCACGGCAATTGACCTTTTGTCCCCAAAGCCCCGTTTCTCTTCCGCCACCAGTATTCCATCATCACTGACCTTTTCCGTGTCAAAGAGGAAATCCGGATGATCGGCCAATGCAAATGTAGCAAAATATAGCTGAACGCACAGGGCTGTACAGATTATGGAAAGTACGGAAATTAAACCTTTGCATCCCATTTTGGCAATTGGAAGACCTTTTCGGCTGCCAATGCAAAGTTAGCGTAATGGAGAACTATTTATAAACCGATGTTCGAGGTACGATGTAATGCTGTGACAAGAATTACGAAACGGCAAAATGCATTAAAAGAATATATATACCAAAGAAAGGACGATTTTTAAGGATTAAAATTGCGTATCCGTCGCCCTGCGGACAATTACTGCGGTAATCCTGTGTGAAAGTAACGAAGAGATGAGGTTCTTATATATACATGAAACTACATGATGTTTTTGTGGTCCACTAGTTTGCCCACTTTGCTGTCATTTACGTGCGCCAGTTCATGCATTACGAATGAGGAAAAAGTGGCATCCCGCGGGATTCCGAATTAATCTTTCGACTTGCGTGTTTACAGCACAACAATCTTCGTGATACTACTATTAGCGAAACAAACTCACAGGAAACGAAACAAGAGTCTCTTTTACATTGGATTTTGACGATATCATCCAAGTATTTCTGAACTGCAGACTGTTTAAGACTAAACCCATACAAAATATTAAGTAAATAACTACAAGAAGTCAGAACGTTTTAACTGGTTGATGGTTATAAAGCGTCATCAAATGATACGGTGAAGTCTGAATGTACCTAATGGCTACTGTATATCCTCAAATTCCTTGTATACTCAATGCAATTGACATTCGATTTGTACGATATCAAAGTTCAGGAAACTAGAAAACATTTTGGTATTTGTACATACCAAACCGGCCAATGCGGTCTATATATACGTATTATAAAAATCTCTATTATAAAAATCAAATAAATGTCCTTTGTGAATTAAATGCGTCTTGTTACCTACCGTGCTGTAGACATATTAACCTTTTGGTTTCCTATAACAAATAAGACAGAATCGGAGAGCAAAACAATGTGACGTTTAAAACTTTTATATATTTATGCAATTGCAACTTTTATACATTTATGCGCATATTTGTATTTACATATGTTACATAATTCCGTAACTCGAAAATGCGAAGAATATCTATATTTTCATTAGCTTCCTTGGCACTTGGGATAATGCCTCCATGCTGCGCCCATGGTGCCCAGATTTTGCTGTCGCTTAGCGTTACGTTAGCACCGAGATTGCGCATATTTCTTATTTTGTGGGGTCGGTGCAAACACAAAGCAAATGAAAACTACGGTTAATTTTCAGGCCGAGAGTTCCTGCGCAGTGGACCACCAGTTGCTTCGTCTCAATGTCACCCATATTAATTTTTAGTGCAACTGTACTTCCAAAATTTGCATACGACTCTGATTTCCTTTGGGATGCGATTCAGATTTAGATGTTTGAATTCTTATTATGCAACACTCCCGTACATCGGAATTCTTCTTCTGGAATACGCGGAATAGAAGCAACCCTCGTGTTTTGGATCTACGCCTTGTATGAAATTACTTAAACAACTACAAAAGATTTAATGTTTTGTTGCTCAAAGTAGCATGCATAAAGATGTCTTCACCCGGTTCTATTCGAGAAAAAAGCGCCCATGTCTGCTTCATCCAAAAGATGTCCTTTGGATGGTTGTTTTTTGAGTTTCGAAAAGCCATAATATAGTTACGTAGACCATGTATTTTAGACGTGAAAATGTACATAAAAAGGGGCTCCATAAGTATACTGAAACATGCCGTTCTAAAGACGGCGTGTTGTGCTCCGACGATGTCTAAAGCACGTCAAAAAATTGCTTGCCGTAGAACCGGGTCAGATACGAGTAGGACTAGATATGTAAGTATACGATTATAGAGAGCTAAAAATACGTAAGTTACTGTAAACACCAAAGAGGTACTGTATAAACTATCAAGTCTCGTTACCAGTATTAATACAATGAATAATTTTTAATGTTGATGAGACATGTTTACAAAGACAGTTACTGTAATAACTAACAATACTGAAAAATCTGCTCAACCGTTCAGTAATATTATGCGTGACACACAAACAGAAGTATCTAGATGAATTATTTCATAGTCGTGTTATTTAATTTCTGTGACCGGATTTGCGGGCTTTTGCGTGTTCAGAACGACTAACATCGCAAAAAATTTAGTTTTGTATTAGCAGAATTATTTGCATCCTGCGTAAGGTATAACCGCAGACTCGGAACGGAGCTACTACCTCTATGCGCTCTGATAATAATTATAAATTAAATGCGTTTCTCAGATTCTTCTGTGCTAGCAGTAACAGTGCTTCTGAACTTTGTTGCACCTGAAAAACCAGCGGAATCATAAAAATCCCTCATTATTTTCTTCTGCTTTGACATTGCGTAGATTGTTCCGGAGGGATACATAACGTCTACGGTGAACATAAGTCTTTATAACGTTTGTGATCTGACTGAAATGTGAACGAACCGGTACTCTAAAGGAGTTAAAGAACTTAGTTTTTCTGATTTCTTTGCAGTTTACGATTAATTAGTGGCACCATACGATTCACGGATTATTCTCGTATAAAAAACAAACTGCCGCACTATTAGCAGCTGCACAGTTTGCAACGTCTACGTACGAGTATAATTTTGTCAACGAACGTAATAAAACTTAAAGTATTTTGCGCAGCAATGCAGTGCAGCTGATATTTTGAAACAAATCTGCATACAGATGGATGCATGACTTATTGTGAGATTGAATAAATGGTAATCATGCACCGAAATTATGATTTCCTCACCCTTATTTTTTGATACACAGCAGATTATATAATGGGTTTAGGAAGTACAAAAGGAATTACTGCAACAGAATCGTCGAAACTATCGAAGTGCATTGTATTCAGTTTTAATATCTCCAGATCTCAGTAGGTTAGATTTAATGGGCTTTGTACAAATTCTTTGGTTCAAGCGGAATTCGTAAACATCGTGCCTTGAACCTATCTGATAAAATGGACCTATGTGCACAAACATATAAATCTACCGTAGTTTTATATTAACATAGTGCCTGAGCACTACGGTTCTCATGATCAGTACTTACAGTAATGTTCGAATACAAAATTTGGAAATTCAAATTCTTTGGTTCAAGCGGAATTCGTAAACATCGTGCCTTGAACCTATCTGATAAAATGGACCTATGTGCACAAACATATAAATCTACCGTAGTTTTATATTAACATAGTGCCTGAGCACTACGGTTCTCATGATCAGTACTTACAGTAATGTTCGAATACAAAATTTGGAAATTCAAATTCTTTGGTTCAAGCGGAATTCGTAAACATCGTGCCTTGAACCTATCTGATAAAATGGACCTATGTGCACAAACATATAAATCTACCGTAGTTTTATATTAACATAGTGCCTGAGCACTACGGTTCTCATGATCAGTACTTACAGTAATGTTCGAATACAAAATTTGGAAATTCGCCGCTGCACGCTATCTTAAAGAAATCTGTGACTATTAAATTGTAAGACATCGTAAAGAGCGCCCAACAACCTAACTATTTTCAATCTATTGAATACATGTAGCAATGTTTAATAGAGGCTATTTTAAAAGTACTGGTGTGAAAAGACCAAACCCTTTACGGTGTTTATTTGCATTTTATTGCAAGCGTCATTATTGCCAATTTCGATTTTATCGCCGGCATTAGGGAGCTGCACGAGCAGCCTAACCGCATCCACGTCAGTGTGTGTACAGTAGTTCGTATACATCCCACCAGTCAATATACCGATTGTGACATTGCACCGTACCGTGTCAGGACCGTACAGTTGTTTTCAAAAAGTGCCACCCCTTACATTAGGATTGCTGCCGCCAGGAGCAACGTGTAGTCCCAGCATCCATTAATGAGTGGGGTACGTTTTTACGCAGATTGATTCTCTCTTGGGAAGCGCCAGCGGCTGGATATTACGCATAACCGCTCCTGTCCACCCCGCTGCTGTCACATACGCATGTTCTGTACATGTGCGCATATGTATTGTGTATGTATATATTCTTGGTATTCGAGTGCCAGTTACGGCGCATCTTGACAAGCAGATTGTTTTCGATTTGCAAGATGTGTTGTACTGTTATTTGTGTATACTGTTATTTGTGTGGCCAGGTTTAAAATCCCAGCTAGAATGTCACCCTAGCCGGAAATGGGCTACCTGCTCCACGATGAATAATAATAATAATAATAATACGTGGAGACGCGGGACTGCGTATGGCCCACAGTCATCCACCGCCGCCAACTAATTAGACACTTTGTTCCCTCGTTACACGCACTTCCGAAACCGGCTTTGATGAGGCACACTGATACCTCGCGCGCAATGTATCTTAGCTTTCCGGCCACGGGCTGGGATGTAGCCGGTCTTAATGAGATCCCCTTTCAGCCGCGAGAGATAATTGATCCATGAATGTGTAAAGAAAAGAGCTTCTGTATTTAAATTAGACGCCCCGCGCGATGCGACGCATGTACATAACGCGCTCAAACAAACATAAAGCTTCCCATAAATCCCCGTCAGATTTACTTACTCGCTGTGTCTCACTAACACTCGGTGCGCGGTATATTCCCCCGTTCAGCGGATTAGCGCTCTTGTTATACTTTGTATTTGTATAGAAAGTCTCTGTGCGCTGGCGGAAAACGTGTGTGCGGCGTTCTTTTTCGTCTTTCCCGTGGTGCTATGGTCGTGTTGTTCCTGTGTCAACATTCCGGCAAACGCTCGACGCGCGCATCCCGTTTTTAACGCTCTTTAACTCCCACCGATTGGTGCGCTGTGAAAATATCGTAATTTAATAATCCCCGTTCCAGTACACTAATGCTGAGGCAAACATTGCATGATCAAGTAAGTTTGTGGATTAACTTATGCAGTCAGTCGTGTATGTGCGATAAAATTAAAATAATCGCCAAATGTAAAATGCATGTATGATCAGTGCGCATACCCGGTGCCGCTGGGTTGTTTAACCAAGGACGCAAATGCTGAACATCGATTTTTAATTACGGCAATTCATGTACATAACAAAAGCAGAGTTTTCTGCAAACTTTAAGCAGGAACAGATATCTAAAAAGTTTTGTATTTATGTAAAATACTTGCTAATAGTAGTGTTGGACGCAACAAATTCGAAAACAGCAATCCATAAAATGAATTATAACTACTTGCGCATATATACATCAGTGCGTAATTACAGTTGTATTTTCCAAGCAGACTTTGTAAGATGACAGAAACAGTCTGTATGTTCTGTATGTTTTTTCTGACGTAATTATATATTAATTCACGCAGATTGTAAAAGAATTAACCATGAAATTTATCTACTGTCTGCGATTAAAATAGTTTCTGCAAAGCGGCAACTGCGACATTTTGCTTATGCGTCATAATCAGTATAAGAAGGTCAGCCTAATTGGGTGTCATGTACCTACACAAATGGATATTGTTCAAACACTTGTAATTGAGGAACGGGATTGTTAGGCTGGATAGGTTACAGCCAGCGCGTAGTTTACGTTGACACACTGATCACTTGAACACGGTTGTGATTTGTAAGCGCACTAGTAAAGAGCACACCAGTCAATTGCCAGCGACCGCTACATGTCTCTTCCCCTGATATTGTTGTACAGCCATCCCTTCTGCGGCTTGATCCGGCCTCAACATCCAAAAATATTCCCGCTTGGCGTCTTTGGATGTCAGCGGTAGTTCGGTGCTGAGTTAATACACAGTACACATATACTGCAGCTCGTAATGCACTTCCCTTTCCCGTCACAGGCAATGTCCGTCACGGCAATTGTTATATATATACACCCATATATATATTGTATATATGTTCTTCCTGCGCTGATCCGAATCCAAGTAAAATCAATTTTACGCTCGGTATACGCTATCAGATCCCTTTTGCACCATCATCTGCGTTTTCCCACATATTGTACATTTTTCTACCAGGACAAATTTACCAAAGTGCTCCTTCAATATGCACCACATGGATGTCGGGGCATCATGAGTGTGTACATATATAAGTATGGTTTCTATATATATAACAGGTAACCATCACCTGAAACGGCACTCTCATCAGCCGACAGCGGCTGTTGTATTCTTCCCAGCCGGTTTCTCTCCCGGACGGCAGAATATACATACGTGACGTCCTGGTGTTGTGCAGCGCGCAGCACTCTCCACGATTCGACGCCGTAGTGGCAGAGATATTATTATTATTTTTACAATTCCTAACCCAATCTATTCATATATGTCTCATATCGCACTCGCCCGTAATGCAGTGGGTCGATTCAATCCGCCGAGCATCTTTCACAGTCAGTCGTGAGGCATTCATCCAGCGAAAAATTATCCTTTCACCATCTTTTTTCATCCCGCAGATCTAGTATTATAAAAACGGCTATTGCTGCAGTGTGTCTATACGAATGCTGTGCGGTGTGCGATCACTAGCGCTTACAGCGTTCCATTGCCACTGGATTGGCTATTGTAAGTCATCAAGAAATTCGGCAGTTTCCGGTAACGTTATTCCTTTTTAAGTATATCCATTACGTTGTCATTGTTAGGCTATGACAAAGTTGCTTTTTGGATGAAATCTAATCTGATTACTGTAAATTCAGATTTATGCTTTTGTGATGATCGTACTTTACAAAGTGATCGCATGTCTACCACAGTACCGCGTAAATTCTAAGCGGAGGACGGATTATCATTGCATTATGCGCTCGTACAGTATGATTATATGCTTCCTATAATAATAATTTGGTTTGAAACTACTGTAAATGCATACCCATAATTATGTATATAAAGGTGCACTGATGAACATGAGGACAACTAACCTAACTGTCACGGTGCAGGAAATTCGGTGTGATTCGATACGTAAAAATAGCTCCATTGTTTCATGGTAAATTGAATAAGATGGAGTCTATGCGGAAATGGATATTCTAGCTGGCGGGCAAACGGGAGATATTCGACTCCCTTGTCTGGACAATTTGAAACCGTCTATTGATTTTCGCTTAACAATCCTTAAAACGAACTTGCACCAAAAAGCCAACAGCCTTAACATTATCACTGTCAATCATCAGCGGCGTTTTTCCCAGCATTGTACGGACGTTATATACACTTCATTTTCCACAACAACTGCAAGATTTCTCATTGGTAATTTTATGGGGGAAATTTTTTTTCTCACACTGCAGCTGTAAATCAGTTTCCGTATCCTCAGTTTCCGATAAGCAGAAATGTTGTGCTATGTCGTGCATGCAATATATTTCCGGTTTACACAGATTCAATCAATTCGTTTTTCAACCGACGCATGGCCATTAATGTAATTTATAACTGAAGGCAATTTGGTCATTGTTATGTACGGCTGACTTTGTGCATTGGTCGATGTCTAACAGTTTTTATATTATATTCCATCCTTTACTTGTTCATCAAGGTAAGCAAAAAAAAGGTGTTCAGTAGTGGTTTTAGCGATTTGTGTTGTGCATTGTATTTATAGAACCACATCACCAGGCAGTGCAGCTATGCGGTTTTACTTTGCTACTAGGTGCTTGCTATCTTCAAACAGAATTAAAAAGTAAATTGTAGTTCACTGTAATATCATTATTCATTTTGTGTTACAGCGCAAAAAATGGTGAGGTTAATTAAGTAGTCAATAGTGAGTTAACTTGGCATAAGTGAATCATAAAAAAGCCTTGCGGAACAAAGATCAGGCACATAATGGCTGACTGCCCGTTGTAATCCGGCTCCACGACTGCCGCGCACTGAACTCATTAACTTTTTGTAGATGGGATGAGCCGTGTACCGGAAGTTACATGATTGACTACATTCGCCGGAAGTTCACTTCTAGTCGGTACGTCAATAGGTGTAAAGTGTGGCCGGCAACTCATTTGTACGCTATTGTGCCGGCAATTGCGCAGATTTATGCTGCATTTACACACATTTTATTCATTTGACAACATTTGCATAATCGTTGCGGGTACTAATTGATGACGTATTCGTAATACTCGTAGTATATGCGACGCCCTGCCAATTTATACACAATGAACACATAATTATGATGCATCTATTCGCTACTCGACATACATGTATGCACAACAATTACGTAGTTCTGCGAAAAAAAACTTCTGCAGGTTATATTACCCGTACAAGTCTCATTTATTTAATATTTATTTTTTAAATCTGAAGCTTTGTCTCCGGTAACACTTTTGGGTTTTTGGCGGAGATTTTTAGATCTTACAAGCTATATATCAGTATTAGTGCCACTTGAAGATATTAATCTGCGTAGGTGTTGATATCCTGTAAGCAGCTGATACGTCACGATGACAGCGACTGCACCTGTGATTACCACCAGCGCCATCGCGGTGGACGACGATGATCTGGACAGTATCGAAGTGTTATCTGCTCAATACCGCCCCACTGCCTCCGTGCACCAGGACTACAGCAGCACGAACCACCATACGCCGGCAGTATATGCTGCCGGTGTGCCGGTGGACACTGACCACTTAATCAACCATCACCACCCTCGGCAGCGCAATCTGGACACCATTCGCTCGGTGGATGACTACGAGAAGGACACCTACTATTTCCCCTCCACCCGACCGACGCCCAGTCCGGCCGACGGTGTTGCCGGTGCGGCTTCGTCGTCTAACCGGCACGGACAGCAGTCTCGCTCACGATCGCAATCCGGCGGAAGAGTGCCGGCTGATCATCGGCTGGTAGGCGGTGTAACCGGCAATAATGCCCATTCGGCATCTGCCGCTGCCAAATCCACCCTCATTCCTGTGCCTATTTATAACGGTGATATGGTGCTGCTGGAGACGGCAGCTGCCACTAATTCGACTAAAGAGTCCCTCTCACCGGAAGAGCGCAAGCGTAAACGTATCACCCTCGCTGTCGGGATAATTGCAGGTGAGACACGCGCGCGGGGTTATACTCATTAAAATTACACGCGAATAATACTGAATTATGTGGTACAGGATGATCTTTCAGTTATTTCTGGAAATCAATACTTTTATCAACAGTAGATCAAATAACCCTTCCATTAGAGTAATAACGTTTACGTAAAACTCATGCAAGCCGTAATTCAGTTAAACCTGCGCAGCGAAGATTTTTCAAGGAATCTGAGGTGGATAGTTTTCATACATGTATATGTATTTGCGCCGGCAACTGCGCAACAAAAATCAACATGCAATTTGTTTATTGCGTGCTACACTGATGAGCATAAAAATCGTAAAACGAATTCAGCTTTTTTAATTTTAGCTGTTAATATTATGGAATAAAATGCTGAATGCTAATACTGAATTTCTTGGAGTATAACAATAATTATACTAAAGTAGATCAACATGTTATTACGACATATTATAGTATTCGCTGTTACATGACTTGTGCTTACGCCTACATCCAGCAAACTCTATACCATTTACACGTATTTTGTACAGAAGCTTAATTATGTTAATGGTCAATAATGGATACAATTAAAGTCGACGGACAAGTTATGCCGGGACATATAAGTACATATATATGGCTTTAAGAATTATTTACTGTACTTGATTAGACAAAAGCCAAATCTATGTACTAAAATAAAAGTACTGTACTCTATCTTAATTGTTTCCAGAATTCACCTGACATTTAAAGCCCTATACTGATGTTATTACAGATGCTCACATTTCGTTGCCTTTTTGTCTTTTTGCATTTCTAGCTTATAGCGTTTTTTTTAAAAAATATGCGACAGGAATTTCTACGAAGAATTTTTATTCAGCGGAAATTTGGTTTCCATTCAAACCTAACTAACTGGAAACAGCAGCGCGCCGGGGCTGCTTAATCAACAGGAAAGGAAAATTCAATCAGGATACTTGATAATTTGCGCATTCACCGCGTATTACGCTGCGTGATGATGAGTCCCGTAATACTTATCGATTTTTTTTCCTTTTGCAGGGATAATAATAATTGCCAGCATCCTTTTGGTGGCGATTACCCTGAACATGACATCACGGATCGACGCGATCGGTAAGCGCGTAATGTCAAACAACTGTAGTAAGGCCGAAAGAGCATTAACAGTAGTGCCGAAATTGATGCTCTCATACCGAGCAAACCACCAATCCAGTTTTGTCTGCACGAGCTCGCATCAATACGGTACAATGTGCAACCGGCCCAAATCGATACTTTAGTTAAATCCAATTCCGCCCTGTAAATTAAAAACTGTCAAATCGCCTGCCATAACATGCCATATAAATTTTGTACAACTGCAGACACCGAAAAATTAGTTAAAATTACTCAGAAATTTTCATCTAGGCTTAGAAATGATTTAAACACCTTATTCAACAAAACTAATAAATTACAGAGTTATACCGATCCTAACGAATTAATAGGTAGTAAAATATAAACGCGATACAAACATTTAAAGGGAATCGTATTTACATAGTTTTCATAGAAAAATTGCTTCTGAACTTATGGTCACATTAATGCAGTGAGCAATTGCACGACCAGCAAGCGGTGATAACTCTAGTTTTACAAGCAGCACAAAACAATATCAGTTTGGTAGTACAGACACAGAGTAATTTAAAAAAACCGTCAAAATATCAATAATACATTATGTGGACAGCACGCATATATCTTTGACGAAAAAAACCAAAAATTAACTAAGTACCCTAGTTAATTAATCTTATCTATACTACATTGTACGTAGCCGTACTATTGCTGAAGTTCAGTAAATCTTTCGAAAGAAATATTTGCTTTGTTAGCTGAAAATTTCGCTAAGCGCACGAGAGACGCTGGCCATGGAGGACAGGAGGAGTGCATTGCCTGATCATATTATATTATTATCGTGATCAAACAGTAATGGTTTAATTTGGGGATAGTGCTATAGTAAGTATGGATTACGACTGGATTTAGAAAGCCATACAATTCTTTTGTAGTGAAAGAGCAAAATGATAATATATACGCTCAGCTGACAGCCAACAGTGATTATGGATTATCATGGAAGAATTCATCATCGGCCCAAAATTACCCCATCTTGCAATATTCCAACCGTGATAGTATATGAATTGCGTAAGTGCGTCATAAAATCCGTACTGCGTAATGCAGCCCATTTTGCCGGATTCCTTGCGATAAAAGATTTTGTTGTGACGGGCTTCGTTGGTCTCGACGTAGCAAGTATGGGAAAGATGGCAACGGGATCTCATCATGGATGAATATATTTTTTCGGTGCCTATTCATGCGCTTTACACTTTACAGTGTGTGCCGTGTAGAAAGCATGGCTGGATCTCTTCTTGTACAGAGAGTGTGTTTAACGAGTAAGCGGCTTACAAGTGACCTTTACTGTTATCTTTCTGCTCAAAATGTAGTTTTCGGTGTGGTTGATTGGAATTCAGAGAACGATATATTGTTTGCGACGAATGAAGTATTGCTAACCATCACTCATGAGGTGCACAATTAAATTAGCAAAAAATGATCGATTCTGTTAACGATATCTGCAACCGACTAATCAAACACGCTTGTCTTCCTTATTTCAAACACAGAAAAAAAATACCCAACAGCAGTCTGATACTTATCGATATTTATTTATTTACACGAATACGTAAAAACCGTTCGCATAAAGAAAGCAGCTAGTAAGCGGGGTCTATGAACAGAAAACGCAATAAAATTCATTTTAAAAGAGTACCAGAAACAAACCTGTACACGCCACTAACATACCGCTAATGAACGAAAACGAAAGTGCACCGAAAAGAAAGTAGCATCACAAAAATCATTAAAGCAACAACGCCAACTAAGCACAGCTACCCAAAACCGGGTTAAAAGAATACAAAAAACGCAATAAATTCATTAAAAGACACATATACTCGCGTTTAAAATAAACAAAACAAACTTTCTTACATAAATCTTACTATCGGCTAAAATCAACAAAATACTAGTCGCTTCTTTAACAAAATAAAATACAGAATGGATAATCATGTGTGTGTCCGAGCCGACATGAAGAACGAGTGCGTGAGACGTTTACCGCGTGTGAGTAGCATGAGAAACACACAGGCTGTTGTTACTTAGCGCGGCATCGATCCACCTGAAACAAAAAGCCCACAAATTGGAGCATCTCGGTATGGTGTCAGAAGGATGCTTTTTGTGATGAACTGTTCAATCCATACTACGAGCATCTCCGTTATACCTGGGGCTCCCGGCGCCGGATACAGGATACTGTACAGTTCACTCTGCGAGATGGCCGCGTCAGTGCTAGGCTCGAAAGAGCTCAAATCCTCCGTCAGCCAGCGATCCATATTCTCCGGGCTATTTGTATCAGTGAAATCCATCTCATTTCCTCCGCTGTAATATAATCAGACTGTCAATTTCAGACATTTTAATACACTGTAAGATGTTTTGATGCCATAAAGCACCGCCAGTACTTTGAACAAAATCTACTAACGACTGTTAAGGTATTTCTTTGCAGCCACTCACACAAAGTGCTCTGTATGGCCTAGTGAATGGTAGTCAAGGTTTCCCTAATAAAAATTTCCTCGTTTCTTAACCTAATTAATTTTGGCCGATTTGTAAAAACTTCAAATTAATAGTGGTGACTCTTAGATGCTACATTTCCAGAAAAGCAGAAAAACCGACTACCGTCCACCGTAATACACGGGGAAAATGGTTTCCTTCAAAACTAGAACCTGTCCAGCATTTCAGCTAAGTTACGCTGTCCCCAAGGAGCGCTTGAGAAATCAATTAGCCCGCAAAGCCAGCGACCCTCAACTGACACGCATTACCCAGTGGCGCAACCATCAGTGCCAGTCCAAGTAACATACAGGCCACAGGGAATACATCTGCCCTTTCTCCTACACACACTTACCCCATGTTCGATTCGGTTTGATGGCTGAGAACGGAACGAGGATCCTGGACAGAACCTTCGGGGGAATGTGGCGACTGCACAGAGAAGGGCGTCACCGCTCGCGATCCACTACCGCGTCCGTGAAATCTACACACATACCACCGGTTAACAACCAGTTCAATTAACTGCCAAATATACAAAATTACAGCTTACCTAACTGGTGCATTAATTCCGCAAACAATAGTTTATTTAAGTATTTTAGGTCTGATATCAACAGAGTGCCGAGTCAATACTGTATCAGTACCATCGTGCAATTATTCCACAGCGTAGCAAGAGCGCGACAGCTATATTTACTGTATCATCCATCTGCGGTACACCCGATCTGGTACAAGTACATCAAGCGTGTAAAAAACCCCTCCTAATTAATAACGCTATGTTGGGAATTGCCTTTTCGGAAAAGACTGCATTACACCTATCGGAAACTTTCAAAAAAAATAACATTAATTACCAGTCAAAAAACGGCAATTACAACAAACACGAAATCTAACTACGGCAGTATGGAACCTATTCCGAATGCTGCTAGTCACTTATCGTAAATCCATAAGCTGAAAACTTCATTAAAACAAAATCTACTGCAAATTGCTTATTCCACTCAAATAACGTGAGACCAAGATATTAACAAAAATAACGAAATACTTAATTCTTCTTTTGCAAGAAATACGCAAAGCAAGAATTCTCAACGAAAATACTACTCGACACACTGAAAAATTACAATCAACCAAATGTATCAAAATCCGACAATTACAACAATGCTGAAACCAATCCCTAAATACTAGTACAGTAAACCTTTACAATACTGCGCGGTTCTACAACAGATTCCAAAAAAAGAATGCACAGGAAAATTACATATGTAGCTCACCCAGGTATCGTGGTGTGCAGATCCGAAGGGACATAATCGCCTCCAACCTGCGGACGAACATCTAACAATGAGACGAAAACGCATGTCAAAGCAGTGCAGCATAGTGTAAGAAGTTTTGTCATTCCCAAAATGCGAACACAAATGATGTAAGTTTAACCCTCTGTTGCATTTACCGGTGGCGGTATAATACTTGGCAAAGGCTTGATCGCGCGGAATGTCCGGATAAAGGTATAACAAATTCTCCGCCAGATCCCTAATCCTGTTAGCACAACTGCGGATCTGGAAATCCTTGCTCGTGTACGGTTGTATGGAAAGCACTTCGTGAATGTCTGAAGGCAAAACAATTTCTGGATATCGAATTAAGAGTGGTTATCAATTTTGCAGTTATTTACAGCGAACATAAAAAATTACCTATCATGCACAACAAAATAACACGGGAAATTAAAGTACGAAAAAGATGTACGAGTACTTACCGCTTTCCGCGTCCTGACGATGCCACGCTATAGTTACGCCACCCAGAATCGAATCGCTAAATCGGAGCAAGAATGTTCCAGAATGTTTCTGCAGCAGCCAGTCCTGAGCGGTTTGTTTAGCGACAAATCCGTGGATGCATCTATCCAAAGCACAGCAAAATTAAGTCACTACGAATTTTTAGGAAATACTGTACTATTGTAAATTTTACGGCAATGCAGGTGCGCAAATGTTACCCAGCGTTCCACAGATCTTGCAGATGATCCTTCACCAACTTCATAGCATCATAAAACCATTCCCAGAAAGTGAACTTGCGATCAATCAGGTTTTCTTTGTGGAATTTAGCCCGCGTTACTTTGGCATTACTCAAATCTTCCATGGTGTCCTCCTTCCGTCCTAACAGTTTAGCCGCCAAAAATCGTAAATGTTCCTCACACAATCCGGTCCCAATTTGGCTTTTAAATTTAAAATTCAACTGTTCCGCTAAATTTTTCCATAACACTTCCTTTGGAACCTCGAAAGGCACACGACCCTGCACAAAGCAACCAACACATCAAGACAAAGCAGATAAGTACAAAACATCGGCGCATTACCGGCTCAGCAAAGGCATTGTCCCATAAAATGACAGCTGTGGCTTGTGCTTCTTGGGAACCATGAACAATGACAACCACGGGAAGTGACAGCGTCTAGAAACATCAGTTTCGGTTCCAATTCGGGTGCAAGAAAAAACTGAGCAGCAAACACAGACTTACCCAAACCTGGAAAGTCATTTCGTTGGCCACGTTGAATTTCGATTGGAAAAGCAAGCAGAACTTTTCTTCCGTAACAGCCTAAAAAAGAAACAAAATAAACTATCGGAATACAGTGAAACATACCATATCACCAATTTGTACCTCCTGGTGTTTCTTCCTTTCAGATCGTTTGACAGTCTTCAGCGCCTGTTACACACAAACATGCGGGAATATCCAAATCAACCATCTTACGCTTCGATTTTACCATATTTCGGAAGTTAACTACAAGCTGCTTAGAAGCTTGATGGTATTCCATCAGTCCGCTGTTATTGACAATCACCCCCGCAGAATTTCTGTAAAAAGCACAAATACAGGTTTCCAGTTAGCAAATGATGACGTCTACCACTACCGGAAATAAAATGGACCAGAGAGTCGGCCTCAAATTTAAAAAAAATGCTCACTCAGCAATTTTCAAATGGCGTACCATCAAGCACCGATTATTATAAACGAGAAAAAATTTCCGAAATATGATACGAGGTAGTACTCAACCCGCGCTCGTACTTACGTGGTAGCGCTCTTATCCCCTCCTTTGATCAACTGATTTGCTTGTGCCTCACTGCAACAGGATACAGTTAAATCAGGACAATCACAAAATTCAATCACGGAATAACGATACGATCAGGTGTCGACTAATGAGTTTATCATCTAAATCACCGCTCCAGACATGGAAAAAAATAGATCTGTCCGTTGACCTTCCACGGAAGTTATAAATATTGCCCACGTACATACAATAAACATTAAGTTGATGATAAACCCTGGTAGTTCTTATTTCTTATCTTTGGACAATAGAAAACGATACAGGACTGTAATCAGTGTTGTCGCAGACACTGTTTACCTGATAATCGTGCCGGTAACTTTCGGTGGTGTCAGGTGGACATTGATCTTGTTACCCACTAACAGACGCACTGAACAGCTGAATTTGTTGGACACCTTCATAACTTGTGGCGGCTGGCGTTCCACAATGAAGGTGCTGGTAACTAAAGAGGAGAGCAGTGCGGAAATCTTGGCGTTTAGCGACGGTAGTAAATCCTGTTGTTCCATTGGCATCGGCAGTTGACTGCGCAAAGCTTCTACGCGCTGTAGCTGCTGGCGATTTTGCAGAATGATATCAGCCAATATTTCACACCTGACAAACGACAAAAAATCGAATTGGTTTACGATTCTTGCCAGCATCTTCTTTGTTTCTGCTATACTAATAATCAATATTCCCGAATTCCAAATAATTTGTTTCAGACTCGCATGCAAAAAACACGATCATATCATACGCGTATGTGGAAAATAATAAGAATGCAGCAGAGCGATAAGCCTGCGATAATTTCCTCCAAGAAAAAAAAAGGAAAACTAAATTTTGTCAAACTGAGCTCGTAACGCATGGTAACGCGTAATACCTGTTTTTTTCTCTCCACGATATCTATTATTAATTAAAAAAGTACTGTAGTCCATTCTGAGTTGTAGTCACATTGCTTAAACATTATTTCACTGTCGCGGATAGTACGTCAAAAGTAAAAACAAGAAAGTTGTTTTCGCCGCATACTGCTTACCACTGCTGAATCTGATCCAAATTATTGAAGAAAGGTACACCATTTCCACTCAGCTGCTGATTCCGTCTCCAGTGCATCAGATGCTCATTAAGGACCACGCTCTGCACTTTCTCCAGATGCTGTAAACTTTCCAGATGCTTCTTGGCCAAAAACTGTAACCACACAGGTTAAGAACTGTATCGATCTGCTACTACAGTATCCAATTCCATTCTCTTGAACATACAATGCGTTTTTCTAAAATACTGTTAGCCTTCTGAGAGAGATTCTGATCCACTTGTTCTTTGCGCTGACGCAGCCGCACTTCGCTTGTGCTGGTGGTTCCAGTGTGTCTAGTGAGAGCTTCTTCAATATGATATTTTTCCTGGTACAAAATAATAAACGATTCCTGCTCATGCTGCAAGATATTCAAATCCGATTCGGTGGCCTGCAAAAAAAACACAAACGAGCCATAAAAATTGAACAAAATTCATCAATAAATTAAAAAAAACTCATAAGCCATCGCTTACCTTCGTAGCTTTCTGTAGCAATTCAAATTGCTGCATTAAAGGTCCATTTGCTCCGCTCTTACTCTGGGTGGACATGTTATTCCCGCTACTGGGCTATAAAAAATGATAAACTTCGAGACCTGAAGAACTACTCTGACTGGTGAGTAAAAATATGGGCGATTATAAAAATGCCACAACAAAACGCACATTTTCAGCCAATTCCACAAGATGCTTCTCAGTTTCCAACATGGTACGGATATTCTGCACAAAATGCAGCGGGCTACGAAAATAATGATCGCGCAGGTATGTCACAGCTTCTTCCAACTTCATCTTAGTAACGAAATCATTTGGCGATAAACTTTTCGCTTTTGTTTCCACTTCTTTCAACAAGTTCTTCAGCAGTCCCATAGCCATCTTTTCATGCAGGTTGTTGTACGTATCAATACCTTCCCTATAACAACCGTACAACTGACTTAAAATTCGTACTTGGACCGAAATTTACTGTAGTTGTACGGAGATAAACTCAAATCTGATACTTAAACCACACAAAACAAAGCCACAACAATAAAACCTACAGCGCATTATCGTTATCAAATTAGTATTAATTACCAGAAGTACTGAGAGACAATATCCATCTGTACTTATAATAATCAGCTAGCTACTGTCTGCCGACCGGTAAAGTACAGGGTAGTATGTATTCCGATCCACACTCACCGGTCAGGGTGTGTTTTCGCTCACGAAATTTAAAACTGCTGCAGCTGAAATTCATCATAGCCACTAATTTAGTAAATCTACCACAATATAAAGCGCACAAAATTTTTTAACCAAGTCTGCAAATAGCTATCAATAGATTTTAACAATAATGCAGCGGGACCGAGCATGATCGTTTGTTCCTATTTTTATTATTAAAAAAACAAATTAAGAGTTATCTATAATTTCGTTGCCAAATTCCAAGTTGGCTTTGCAATCCCTTATGATGTTACTCGCATTTTATAAAGTAATTTTGGAAGCTGGAACTTAAACTTGAATACGAGTACCTTTAACTATATTTCTGTAATTACCGGCACTGCTTACTGCTGCTGTGAGACTACCAATTTATTTACAACGCTAAACTAGACTGCAAATCGTATAAAACTATTACACAAAACTGACAAAATACTGCTCGTAGCATTCTATAAGAATGAAAAAACGTGAATGATTCATGCGTAGTTTCATTTTCTGATGTAGAGGTGGGTTCCCCGAATACTTCCGACTTTCGGGTTAGCGCAGTGATGGTGTTAGAACAGATTGAGGTCTACGATTAGAGCAAGTGATCGATAACCAAATTAAACGTCAACCGCAAAGGTACTAATCATAATAATAAACAGAATCCGCGCACAGTGACATATGAGCGGTTTCTAAATGATCCAGTCTTTCCTGCAAATTATCAAAGAAAGGCACACTTCATCTAAGATCTACTCTAAAAATCGATTGCACGGTTTCAAGCCAATATTCAAACGGACATTTCAAATCGCAAACTGAACAAGACACTTGTAAAACATGGCTATCTCGGTAATAAACCTAATTAAAAAAAATCCGTTGTGTCTCTTACTTTTCCTGACCGCAGTAGGTGACAGACTAACAGGTATCAGTAAACAGTAGTATATTTCTCTGATTTTACGGCTTACCTAAACTCAAAATAATATTATGACATTTATAAAGTACATATGGTATAATAAAAACCACATACATATAGATATTAAGTACATGTAGATATGACAATTACAGAAACTGCGAAGATTTCGAATCACAGGATTTTCAGAAAACTGTCTTATTAATCACATTTACATTCACGAGAAAACGTAGAAATTAATTATTTTCATTCGATAAAACGTATCGCAAAATTCACAAGTTAATTCTTACATGGGAAAAACGAAATATTTAGGCTCTGAAAATTTGAGCTTAACGGTAACTGGTAAGTACTGAAATATTCAATGAGCTGGTTAAAAAAGTAACTGCAACCCTATTTTGTTGCATTTATTGCAACAACAGCTACATTACTTAGCTGAGTATTAAGCCAAGTACTACGCTGCAAGTGCGTGATTACCATTGCTGAGCTTCGATCCAATCCGCGCAATAATGACGAACTTCGATGGGAAAACACTGGGAATAAATGGCACGCAGCTGTTCCAGGGCATCTCCCTGTAATCGCTGAGTTTTCTCCCACAGCGACATCGTGGAACATCCAATTATTCCGATATAACAATATCCGAAAGGCAAAACGTCTTATCGATAATACAGTGATTTCACAACAGCCTGCAAACAAATACAAAATAATACCATTCCTCACAACTTTTTCCAGCTTTAAAAACACGAAAGCATGAATCACGGATTCAAGATCAAATCTGAGTTTCAAAATCAATAATCGGATAGTCACATATGGAATAATTTCGCAAAGTGATTGGAAAACTCCATTAAACGCAGCCTATATCATCATCAACCAGGCAGAATAATACAACAATTAACTGCCTACTGAATCCAAATTATTTACATTTTACTTTCATATATTTACTTTTAACCACCAAAGGGAAACATATTAAGCTAAGTCTGCTAAGAAAACTGAAAAAAAGAAAACTTTTAAAGCTCTGAACATCAACTACATCCATCAAATACGAAGTACTGCCAATTAAATCACACTCACAACAAACGTAATTTTGTTACTCATCTGTAAACTCCGAATATCTGGTTAACCATGGAAGAACACTTACTGGGAAAAAGGAGTAGTTTTCAGCGTTTCAAAGAAAAACTCTACGGTAGCGGAGAGAGAATTCCCAGAAAGTTACGGCACCACGGTACCACAGGCTTAAGTGCAAACAAACGCATACGCAATCGGCTGATAGCAACGGTATGCCGCGAATTTCCAGCAGGACGGTAAAAGACCAAGAACCCAAATAAGAACACGAACGTAGTCGGTAGTGCCGCACGAGTAAACTCGTCTGCAGACCCGCAACAAGGCCAGCTGAATGGGTTGGCAAGCGTCCAAAGTTCGATTACAGTCCAATGGTATATGCGCGAAACTCATCCAACAGGAATGATTTTAATTTCACACGAGTAAGAAGGCTACTATCTTCATAGAATTTAATAAATTCATCGTATTACAAAGAGTATCCACGAAAAGTTTCACGAAATCACTCCAATCATCGTTAGCACAAAAAAACACGAACGAAGATTACAGTAGCATTGCCCATTACAGATGCACTTGGCTTTTACTGCCGAACATGTACCGTCAATCAATCACATCTGGTTTCCTTGTACAGTGCACAACTCTGTCTGTGAATTGTGCATTGGTGTGGTGTAGTGGCAGATAAATTTGCTGCTGTACGAAGATTCGGTGTTAACGCAACCGGAAACTCGATCTACTCGACAAATTTTGCCATCTCGTAAATTGTGGACTTGATGAGTACTTTTCGATAAAAAAAAGTTAAACTGCGCTGTGTGGATGCGCTTTGACCGAATGCATCAGCCAATTCATTTCTTATACTAATAATTATATGAATACTAAACATCTCTAGCAGGTCTACGGCCTCTCCTGTCAGACCGCGGTAATCTCCGCTTCTGCTCATCCGATCTTCATGCTTCAAAATGTTTTGAAAACCTCTCAGTGCGGCGGGTGATCTAAGACCAGTCGTTGTTTGCTGAATTCAGAACCGCTAATCCAGTGGTCATTCAATGGCTTGTTGCCATGGATGCCATAGGCCTAACATAGTCTGGTCTGGTGCCACGGGCATTAAATTTGAATAAAGAAAACCTTGTGGGCTTAGTGAAGGAATCACTTCAGACACTTCACTGTCCACAGTAGCTTATTAGAATTTGGAGAGTTTAGCAGAACAAGCGTAAAATCAGCAGCCGAGCCACAAACCAATCAAACTTTAGGGGCAAAAGGTCAATACTCCAAAACTAGGCTTCAGATGTTCTGACTTAAAAGAAAGAAGTGAAATTGCTAACTTAACCGATAATGCCAGTAATCGCTAACAAAAAGGCAAATCACTGACAAAAAAGGGACAAATTTTAGCGGATGCAGCCGCAAGTTGACTGCAGAGCATTCCTGTCATCCGTTAAATCTGATAAACTGAACAAGATCTGTTGTCTTTATCAAAAACCAATTGTTTTCAAACAAAATAATAACTGCTGTTGCTTCCTCGAATCCACTGCAACCTTTGAATTTTAAACTGATTATTTACCTAGTCGTAAGCCAATATTCATCCGTGCTCAGCTTGTTATATGAATACTAAACATCTCTTGCAGGTGTTCGGCCTCTCCTGTTAGACCGCGGTAATCTCAGCTTCTACTCATCCAATTTTCCTGCTTTAAAATGTTCTAAAAACCTCCCGGTCTGGCGGGTGATCTAAGATTAATCGTTGTTTGCTAAATCTGGAACTTCAAGCCCAGTGGTCACTCAAAAGCTTGTTACCATGGATGCCATAAGCCTAACATAGTTTATGTCTGTCTCACGGGCGTTAAATTAGTCTGAGCCACGGGCATTAAATTAGCAAAAGGAAAAGCTTTGGCATCGCCTCTGCGTTTCCTAAGTTTCATTGGCCGACTGAACGAATCAGTTCGGACACTTTGTTGGCTACTCTTGCCTATTAGAATTTCGCGAGTTTAGCAGAATAAACATAAAATTTGCAGCCGAGCCACAAAACCAAACGAACTCTATCAACAAAGGTCAACAATCCAAGAACTGGGCATTAGCAGATACTGGACTGATAGACCCTGACTCAAAAAAGAAGTGCAAACTGCTAGTTTGCTAAAGTATTAACCGATAATGACAGTCAGCGTCGCAGGTTGGCTAATCACTATAAACTATAAGCCATACGACAAAAAAAGGAATAATTTCACCTGATACAACCGCAAGTTGCCGGCAGAGCGTTCCGTGTCATTTCTTAAATCTGATAAACTGAATAAAATCTGTTGTCTTATACAAAAACCAACTGTTTTCAAACAAAATAATAACTGGTACTGCTTCCTCGAATACGCTGCAACTTATGAATTTTAAACTAATTTATTTACCGAGTCGTAAGCCAATATTCATCCGATCTTCCTGATTCAAAATGTTTTGAAAACCTCCCAGTCTGGCGGGTGATCTAAGACCAGTCGTTGTTTGTTGAATTCAGAACCGCAATCTTAGTGGTCACTCAAAAGCTTGTTACCATGGATGCCATAGGTCTAACATGGGCTGGTCTGTTACCACGGTCACAATTATACTGTACTCAAACAAGAAACAGCTTTGGCTTCGCCTCTGCGTTTCTCATGGTCCAAAATCGGACCAAACAAATGATCAAGCTCGTCTTCAGTTCATTTGCAAGCTTCTGAGGAGACTATTAGCCGCTGTGCACGAAACTGCTTCAAACAAAATACTAACTGCTATTGCTTCCTCGAATACACTGCAACCTATGAATTTTAAACTGATTCATTTACCCAGTCGTAAGCCAATATTCATCCGTGCTCAGCTTGTTAACTACATCCGTAACAGCCGTGACGGGCTTTGTTAAAGAAAATTATGTTTGGACGAACGGGTAGGCCGATTTTGACGCGGTAAAGTGCGCCAGAATCGTCGCAACGAAGCGGGTGATGTTGCGCTATTGCCGACACGATGCGCCTCAAGGGGGGAGCACGACCCTCAAAAAACAAATTGTTGCCATGGGCCTGCAAGTCTCGCCTTCCGCCCTCGCTCCAAACCGGTTAACATAAAGTATAGGCACACGAGCTTGCACGAGCATTTTTGCAGGTCAGATCGGCCTCGGCTCGAAAAATATTAGGAAAAATACCACAGAACTGTACCGTAACAACCGTGACGTTCAAACCTAAAACAGCAATGTTTGGCTGAACGGGTATGCAGATTTTGACGCGGTCAAAAATGGCAGAATCGCCGCAACGCCGTAACAACCGTGACAGAGTAAGGTTAAAAAACCTATGTTTGGGAGAACGGGTAGGCCGATTTCAACGCGGTCAAGTGCGCTAGAACCGCTGCAACGACGCGGTGGATGTTACGCTATTACCGAGACGATGCGCCTCGAGGGGAAAAAAGGGGACGGGAAAGGAAAATTGTTACCATGGGCCTCCATAGACATACATGGACAAGTTGTTCCCATGTGTTTCCCATGTACGTAAATGACACGACACCCCTCGGCCAGCGGCCTCGATCCGAACATAAACGGTTAATTAACCACCAAAAGCCGACGCCGATAAATTGGTTACGGATGTAGTCCTCCGTAAACTGGTTATATGAATACTGTACATCTCTTGCAGGTTTTCTGCCTCTCCTCTTTGTTACCTATGTTCTCGGCTTCCACTGAGCCGATTTTGCACCTTTAAATTTTCACAGAATCTTTTCAAAACGTAGAGTAACACAAAGCTAGTGGTTTTTTTATTCTCACAAGTAGGATAAGCCCAGTGGTCACTCAAAGGCTTGTTGCCATGGATGCCATAGGGCTAACATGCGCTTGTTTTTCACCACGGGCAAATCAGTGTTTAACAACAAACAGCTTTGGCTTCGCCTCTGCGTTTCTTGTGGGCCACATACCGAGTGAACGAATGATTCGGTTAGTTTTAGAATAAAATGAAAACTAGCAGCCGAGGCACAAATGAAACAAACTTTAATGGCGAAAAGTCAACATTTGAAGAATCTCGCATCAGATATTGGCCTAAACGACCTCAACTCATAAGAAAAAGTGCAAACTGCTAACGTAATATATAATGCCAGTACATAAACGTCCACTTGTTGACTGGTCACCAATCTAAATGCAGAAACAGGAAAAATTTCAGCTGATACAAACACAAGTTTACCGCAGAGCATTCCTTGTCACCAGTTAAATTTAATAAACCGAAGGCGATCTGTTCTCTTATACTTGAATTAAAATTAACTTGTTTCAACCAAATTCATAACTGCTATTAAATAACTACTGCTTTCTCGAATACACGCATAACTGCTAACTATGAAATCATAACTGCTGTCTCCTCGAACACACTGCAACTTTTCAGTTTTAAACTAGTCTATTTGCCCAGTCGTAAGCCAAGATTCATCCGTGCACAGCTTGTTATCTACATCCGTAACCACGTATACACGATTGATAATGTAGCCAATGTTTGGGCGAACGCCTGAACCGATTTCGACGCGGCCAAGTGCGTTAAATTCGTCTCCACGGCGCGAATGTTCTTACGCTATTGCGCCATCGATGCGCCCCAAAAGGGAAGGAGTAGCCCAAAAAACAAATTGTTACCATGGGCCCCCATAGACATACATGGTAAATGCATTGTCTGTTCGCGGACCGTTCGGAAAAACCGAGACAGACCGCGGCCTTCGGCATCGGCACGTTACAAAGTATTGAAAATTTTAAAAACATGTGCAAAAATTAATCGCAGTCAATCCCACCAGCGTGATCGGTATACCCCGTATTCTTTTATATACGATATTTCTTAGGTTTCTTAGGTTTCTTAGGTTTTCTTAGGTATTCTCAGGTTTCTTAGGTATGCTTAGGTATTCTTAGGTTTCTCAGGTTTCTTAGGTTTCTTAGGTTTCTTAGGTTTCTTAGGTTTCTTAGATTTCTTTGGTTTCTTAGGCTTTCTTAGGGTTTCTCAAGTTTTCATAGATTTTCTCTTTCTTAGTTTTCTTAGCGGCTGGGACCAATGCGATCAACCGTTGCGAAGAATGCATTGCGTAATAAACTTGCGCCGCAAAAGTTTATGTACGGATGTAGATCCCGTAAACTGGTTATATGAATACTGTACATCTCTTGCAGGTTTTCGGCCTCTCCTCTTTGTTACCTATGTTCTCAGCTTCCACTGAGCCGATTTTGCAGATTTAAATTTTCACAGAATCCTTTCAAAACGTAGAGTAACACAAAGCTAGTGGTTTTTTTACTCACACAAGTAGGATAAGCCCAGTGGTCACTCAATGGCTTGTTGCCATGGATGCCATAGGGCTAACATGCGCTTGTCTGTCACCACGGGCAAATTAGGGTTTCACAAGAAACAGCTTTGGCTTCGCCTCTGCGTTTCTTGTGGGCCACATACCGAGTGAACGAATGATTCGGTTAGTTTTAGAATAAAATGAAAACTAGCAGCCGAGGCACAAATGAAACAAACTTTAATGGCGAAAGGTCAACATCTGAAAAACCGGGCACCAGATATTGGCCTGATCGACCTCAACTCATAAAAAAAGTGCAGAGTGCTTAAC